ACTATATATTTGTGAGCTCTTGGCGTGTCTGACATGCCAATGGCCTGGTTACTTTTTGTGCTGTCCCAAGATACTTGAGTATCTTGCTCTGACACCTGCTTACTCCATCTTGACACCACTGGTGTCTACCACAACTCAGATACTGTGCGCAGGTGTTTCTCAGCTGCCTGAAGAGGCGGCCATTCAAGTCAGTGTATTTGGGGTAGCACCATTTGGAGTGCTGTTGAAGAATATAAATGGAATTGAAGTACCTGGTTCAATTCTTATGATATAATGCATTTACCCACATGTTCTTTTGGTGGGACATTTTTGGGATGCATTGAAAAGGATTTCTTCCTCTGCCTTCTTGTCTTTGAGGCCTTTTTTTTTGTACAGGTAGATAGTCTAAGCTTATTGAAGTTATCAGATGTGGAAAAAACCACTTTTGCAGCAGGTGGTATCATAGCTACTGCTTGCTTCCATCAGTATGTCATTTTGACACTGGCTTTTGACTTTTTAAGCCCATGGAGGACTTTGACAAGAGTCCATGGACTAATATCAGAATTAAACTTTTCAGCTTCTGAATTTTGTGTGTTGCTATCTTATACATGCAAGTTTGAGGATACAGATGTGCAGAATACAGCTTGATAGCTTAATCTTTTGCTTTATTTTGCCTATACGATAATGATCTGAGCTGTGTGCTTACAGTCACTGCAGACCTATAATGATAGCCTGAGGCACTAGAAATATTTTAGTGACTTAACAATAAAACCTGTTATCAGTGTTTGTCATACTTCAAAGTATTTGTCACTGTGCTTTGTTAAAGCAGTGAAAAATTCTGAAGAATATATAATGCTTCATAATGCAGTAGACTAGGAAAAGGTAAAGATTTAGAAGGATTTCTGCTGTCATAATACAGTCAAGTTAACAGCCTGCCATTTTTCCTTAATATTTCCTCTTAAAAACTAATTCTTTCAATAATTTATTAATTTAATAAGTTGTGTTCTTTAATATTTCTGTAATTAAATTGCTGTAGGGAATATTATCACTTGCTGCATTAATTGTTTTGATATATGTTGTGAAACAGCAGCAATTAAGATTTTTTTTAATAGCTTTGACAGATTATCAGAAGATACATGGTCTGCAGTTAAGAAACGGAATCCTTTCATCAGGTTTTAAAAAATCTTATTGAAGAATCTCCTGTCATTCTAAGACTCTCCCATAAGCAATATCCTAAATAAGTTTAATTAGTGTAAGAACAGTAAATATTTTATCTTTGGTTTTTTTTTTTTCCCTGTGGGTGTGTCACTTGCTTTTCTTTATATAATTTTGTTTTCTTGAGCTATTGATTCAACTCTTACGAATTCATTTTGCAAGAAAGAAAAATTTCAAGTTTGTAGTTTTTTTTTGAGGGGTGGGGAGGGAGCAGCTTTGCAAGTATGTGTGTGGAAGAGAAAGATTTTATGCTCACAGTAAATTACAGCTATAGGAGAATTTAAAACTACCCTGGCTGCTTTGGGCTTGTATAACAGTGCCTCATTTTAGTGATGATGTTAGTTTATACGAAAAATCTTGCTGTAGATTTCACATTGAAAAAATAAATCTCCTTAAAGCTCTTTTTTTTTTTTTTTTCCCCTATAAAGGGATCTTTCTCTTTGTGAAAATATGGGAAAGTGAAATATTTGAAATGACATGCTGTACCCAGTACTGGTTTATGCTAAAACTTTGGTCTGTTTCATAAAATGTACTACACTTACTGAGGGAGCTGAAATTGCCTTGGAGACAACATGAAGAATCTGTTGTGCCTTGAAAAACTGCCTGCAAAAGCCTGTTTTCTGTGACTGCTGGCTCAGACAATTCCAGGCTCTCTCTTTAGACATACAAAACTGAACAATTTTAAATCATAGATGCTTCTATTTTAATGGTTTTGGGCAGAATGGCTTGCTACAGGAGAAAAGTATGGTAGTCTGCTTTTACATTGTTTTCAGGCAGTTGGGGTTTGTGTGCAAGAAAGACCAGTACAAAATTCTTTCATGTGTAGTCTTTTTGATGTTTTCTCAACAATTGATTATATTTTTCACTTTTATGCATAATATCCATTTGTGGATAGGGAGAGAGGGGGAAGACTGCTCGAGTTGTAGAAATGGCTAGAGGATTATATGGCCAATTCTGCTTCTGCGGATCTTAAAATACATTGTGGATGAAGTATATTCTAATCGTATGGCGAAGAGATAGGTTTCTGGAAGAAAAATATACATTTTTCAGAATGTATATTTCATTCAGAAAAATAAAAATGCTGTCTGTGGCCAAGCATCATATAAGCAAATATTGTATCACTAGCAAGAAGATTCTAACCTTTTATTTCAATCCTCCAAAAGGAGTTTGAATCCCTTCAATCATCAAAACAGTTTTCAGCATAGCAAACAAGGCTGCTGGCTATTCAGATGGTCCTAGCTTCACTGATTCTTAGTTTTTAGAGGGCTGTATCACTTCCAGAGTTGTTTAAAATATACATAGTTTAAGTCTTAATCAGTGAGAAACTCAGTGCATGAACTTAGTTGGAAATACTATTCTGTAAATTTTTAAAATAAATGCAGTAATCTGAAATGAGTCATTCAGTCAAAATATAATTAAGTTTCTGAAAGTTGGAAAAGTTGGAAAGTTTCTATTAAGGTAATATAATAGTAAATATATATTTTTATTTGTAAATGGAGTAACATTTACTACATTCAGGGGAAGTGTTGGTTCTTATAGCAGGACCAGCATGCCATTCCTTTTGAGTTTAACTAGTTTTTCTGTGAAATAAAAGATCTAGGACTATTTTTTACTTTCTAGAAAAATCACACAAGGCTGATTGTAGAAGAATGATAAAATATTTTGAAGAATAAGGTTAAGAACTCTGTTATGTGCCTATTCTTTACAATTTTGAAGTCTTTTCAAAGACCTCCTGCCTTTGAGAGCTTGTAAATATTCTGTAAACCTATTTATTCTGTTTGTTTACTAATGGCATGCAATCAGTTTATTGTTTGCTAACTCTTGACAAAATTAATCTCAGCTGCACAAAGGAGACAATAAATTGAATATGCCTGCATATTCAAGAAGAATATCAAGAATGTTGAGGAGCTTCTTTAAATGTTACCCTTGGGCTACAGCAGTCAAAGCTGAAGGCCCAACTTTTATTTTTGCCCACTTTAAATGGTGTACAATGGATTGGTTTTCATAACTAAAATTGGACAATTGTAATTAACAATATTAACTTGCTAATCAAGACAAGCCTACAACCCTGCTACTGATTATTTTTTCTGGCTGCTAGGCCATGATTTTGGATCCAACTGATCTGGTTGCCAGCTGCTTCTGGCATGTGGAGTGCTGGCACAGAAAGCCGCTGTGGTGTTGCAGGGTGCTGAAGGTTTATGTTTATGCTCTATCTTTATATAGAGTAACTGCCTGCCTGGGAAGAATGTGTACCAATGTATGTAATTTAGCTTCCATTAAAATACTTTTTTTTAAAGGATGTTGGGGAAACACAAGTTCTCAGCCTTTGGTGGTTGCAGATTAATGCACTTAGTTAAATGTGTTACAACCTCTGCAGGTTGAGTTGGAAGGGCATTTTAAGTCATGTATGTAGTATTTTTTTCTGTCAAACATCAATGAAAAAATTAGTGTAGCCTTTTGGCATAAATATTCAAGGACAAGAAATTGAGTTGGAAAGCAGATAGATAAGGTATTTGCTTCTGCAAAGTCCATTTCCTAATTAGGAAGAACTAAGTGAAGAAAACCCAAAAATGGTACACTTCTGAATCCAGGTAGTATCACTATAGAAGTTTTAACTTTTGAAACCTGCAGTGCAAATTAACATCTCTTCAGCCATACCAATTTCTCTCTTTGCTGCTGTTAGCCTTTCCTTTCAGCTGAAGTTGATGTGCGTATGCAGCATCTGATGCAAAGGTTCTAAAGCTTTTCTTTGCGTAAATACTTAACAGGCTTGTGAAGTGATGCATGGATTTGGCAATAAGCAATCCAACTGGGAGAAAACAAGAACAAAAAACATTGTAAGGCTGAGGATTAAAGCTGACAGAACAAATTCTTGTTGAATAATTGTTTTACCTTATCACTAAAGCATTTCTGAACACCCAAGTTTGATAGCTAAGTAATTCAGCAATATCTTCCAATGTCAGACCCTGTCAGATTAAAATGGTTTAGAGTTTCCAGAAAGTTTCCAGACTCCAGCATTCTGTTAGTTTGTAAAGACATTATTTCCTTACCTTGAAGAAATAGTCAACAGTAATCAGGACCTAAGGGGGCAGAAATAATCAGGTTTTCAAATGCTACTATTTGTGCTGGAGCTGCAGTCAAAGAGGAGTCCTCTGCCAGCTCATACAGTTGTTAGCTGTTGAGTCTTGTGCAGGTACTCCCTTCTAGCAGGAGGAAAAACTAAAAGACAGAAAATTAAAACATGATTGAAGTAAAGTTACAGCCTGAAATTTAAACTACTCTTAAAATTACTTTTATAATTGTTTAGGATTATTCTAAGGTTTGATCTTCAGGCATTAATTTGGATTATATGTAAACTTACTTTTCTTGAGTTATACCTTTTGGCTGTCTTCTTACTTGAAATCTTATCTGCATATGAAAACTTCTTTGTTCTTTAAAACTTGAAAGTAGATGGATTCCAAAGGGAGATTTATAGACTATAGGAGTATTGTATTTTAAGTTTGATGTGACAGCAATCACATACATTCAATATGATAGTTTTTACAGATGACTGTAATTTTTTTTTTTAATTATTTATAAGTTTTAGAATACCTTGCTTTCTATTTTTTTGTTCATCCTAATGTTCTGCTTTGTCTCTTCATCTCTTACTTTGGTCATGTACTGGGTTTTCTACTTTACCTCAAACTTGTCTCATATATTCCTGTTCGCCTGTTGCCTTATTTCTACCTTTTGGTAGCATAGACCTTGCAGTGTAGGATACCAAAAAGACGTTTCTTTAATTACTTTTTGATGGCTTTCTCTTTCAGGATAACATTTTGTCACCTGCCTTTCCAAAGCAAATGGCTGTATGTGGGCACCGAAAGAGGAAACATTCACATTGTCAATGTGGAATCATTTACTCTCTCAGGCTATGTCATCATGTGGAATAAAGCCATTGAACTGTGAGTTTGCCCAAGTTTTGTCTGTGTTGGGGAGGGAACAGCAGTGTCTCAGATGTTAACATCAGTTGCAGGAATATCATTGTTATCTAGAAAGGCCTCCATATTCATCTTACTGCACTACATACACAGTCAAACTACATAGTCATGTAGATATTTTTATTTTCAAGAATGTGAAGTGCTAATGTTTGTATGTTTCTGCCTTTTAGCAGTATTTTATCATAGTTTCTGGGATAGACATGGAAATAAACAAAACAGAGAGTATAGAAATAGATGTAGAAATCACTGTGTGGGGTTAAAATAGAAACAAAAATAATATAGATTAAAATATGCTGTGGCTGGTACTTGGATAGACATGTCACTTCTACAGTTGGGGATTAAAGACCAAAGTGTAAAGACAATGCATTTTTTAAGAGGGCTGATGTATTCTCAGTCGGAAGTGACTTTCTGAAATTCAAATAAATGTAAAATTTAAATTTTGGCAAATTTAAATAAGTCTATTTGAAGAGCAAAATACATTTTATAGCTATTGTCACTGCATCTCCTTTTTTTAATGTTAGAATTGTATGTACAAATACAGTGGTTTGTGGGGGAAAGATGTAGTTATTGCTGCACTTCCTGTGCTGGTGTTTTGTTCCCAGTATGTTTTCTTTCAAAAATAGATGAAGTCCATCACTTGCCAAAGGGTGTTGAGGCAAACACAGCTCTTTATTAGCCCATCTTCTTCAATGCAAGAAGTCCAAATAAAGTGTTAATTCTGTGTTATTGTAACAATTGCCATCTTTGCCATTGTTTATAAATAATGGCAAAACCTGTATTCCAGTATAAAGGTAAACATTTTATCCTATGGTAATCCTATGGTTTATTGATAGGTAGTAAGTTTATTTTTCCTTAAGACTAAGTGTCTACAAACAGACATGGTATTTATGGGCTTGAAGATAAAATTAAAGTAACTCCGTTTTGGAATGTCACAACTTGCTTATTACATGGAGTCTGTATCTGCAGAATCCGTATTATTTCCAGTCATTGTGAGATACCATGTAGGGTAGGGGACAATTTTTTTTAATGGAAACATTTCTTTCTCAGGTCATCCAAATCTCACCCAGGACCTGTTGTCCACATTAGTGACAATCCAATGGATGAAGGAAAGGTAGGCTATTTTAAAAACTCTTCAATATGTTATTTTCAAGCAAGACTTGTTTAAAATACAGATACAGCTGCTATTTAAGGAATGTTTGAGTATATGAGGACAACAAAGGTTTTAGGCCCTGAAATAATACAAAGCAAGGTACAGACATGACTGTAGGACACATTACTGGAATAAATCATCATATAATCAGAAACATGTGAAAATGAAAATGATTAGCTGCAAGACTTTTGGAAATAAAAGCAAAGAATTTTACTTATGGTGATAAAAATTAAGATATTACAAAAAAAATACAACACCAATCATAACTAGAGTGCTGAAAGTGTGATGGAAATTACTTCCACTTTTTCATGCTCTTGGGTGTTATTTTACAACTCTAAACTGCTTATTTATATAGCATATTTATATGGAATACCATGTATTTTGTCTTTAGATTGACTAATATAAGGTTTTATGGAATTTGACATCTAACTCATATTCCCATATTAGGCCACATATTATAATCACTAGGTGCTGTTTGCTAATGAAACTGGCCTACAGAACAATGAGAGATTCCAGAAAAGGAAACCAAAATATGTGAGAAGTATCTGTGTATTAGACTTGTATTTTCATTCTTATGAGACAGTATTGACATAATCATCTGTTCATCTTGGCAAGAAGTTTTACATAAACTACATGGTCCTGAAGCCCATGCAAGACAGGATTCCTTCTCCTGTGACATACCATTTTTCTTACTAATGTTCTACATATGCAGGAGAAATACATTTTTTTCTACTTTGTGTTTTTCTTGTCAGTAGTAGATTAAATTGGAGAGAGGGAATGATCCTATTGTTTTAGCAGTGGTTTGAAAGTTTTAGCTAGTTATCAGCTTCTCTCCTAAACACCTGAGGTTTCAGTCCAGCAGAGAATTTAGTGAGTAGAAGTTTTTTTCAGTAGTATGAGGCTCACTTCAGTAAGTGCATAACTAATGGGTTTCTCTGTAGAATTAGGTTGACTCGTATTGAAGGCTTATAGTCTCTAGCATATGAATGCAATGAAGCTGTTGTAATTTTAGGAAATACAAGTGATTAATTTATTTTGATGTATTCCACCCCACATCTAATTATTGTCAATTAAAGTTTAAAAATTACTGGTTTTATTAATCAGTGTATCAATCAGTGTTTTGAAATCTGACCTTGTGCTTTTCTTATTTCTCATAAGAAAAGCACTACTAAAAAAACACTGTGTAGTTGCAAAAATCCCCCATGTACGCACTTTTAAAATTTGTTCATGCTTTTAGCTTTCTAATCACAGTGGTTTTTCTAATGCTTTAAGTTAAAATAGAGAAATTATAATATATAGCATATGATAGACAAGATAATTAATAATATACATAATGTTCAAGGGAAAAATTGAATAGTCACTTTTACTAGATCAAACATGTCTAATATTTATGGTGTTTTAGTGCTGTATAAGCACTGAAAGAGATGAAATATTTTATTTCTAAGCTTGTAGGAGATCTGTTATTTTTGTACTGGAGACAACGGTACACCCTGAAAATCTTAACATGCTGAAAAGACTGTCCAGGCAAAACCTGTAGGTATGGCACTGGATTGTTACTACTGCCTTATGTTGGCCACGGGTTTTTGGTTTGGTTTTTTTTCCATTAAGAGAAGTAGCACTTAAGATAGGAGATCAAAACACTTAGATAGTCAACAATGTGTTAGACCAGCTATTATGAGCAATTTGAGCCTTCACTCCCTGCAGTAAGGGTTTCAACTTGCTTCTTGCAAAAAGATTATTTGGGAAATTATCTACTTTGGTTTATCTAGTTTTCCTCCTATGAACAAATAATGTTTCTGGTGTTCCTTCAGCCAGTTATCTCAACTGTGATTAACATCTGGAGAAAGCTTATAGTACATAGTTTCTTTATAGACAATGAAATCTTACTGAGAACTTCAGGGGGAATATTATATTCTTCCAGCAAATTTTAGCTGAATGAATTCCAGTGAGGAAAATCCACAATAAACTTCTTTTTAACACTCCCTATTTTCACTCTGGGTGGAATACACACAGCAAGGTTTAATATAGATCTTTCTGCAACTCAAAGCAATTTCCAGGGAATCTTTAGAAGGATGCTTTCATTTTTTTTCTAATTTTGCATGAATGTCCATTGTATTTTCTGCAACTTGAGGGCAATAAGTACAAAGCAAACCTTTCAATCATTGAGGCCTTCACCTTTTTAATTTTTGTTTTTATAATTACTTGCAGTTTCTATACATGTTATTATGCTGCATATCTTTTGAGACACGAACTTCAGGCATTGCAAATGATATAATTTTGCTTTTCCTTATAAAGAATTAATGTATCTTCTTAATGCAGCTTCTGATTGGCTTTGAATCTGGGACAGTGGTATTATGGGACCTGAAGTCAAAGAAAGCAGATTACAGATATACACATGATGAGGTAACATTTTTCATCTGCATTACTTACTCTGAGGATATAATGCACTATTATACTGACTTCTATTAGTTTTTTAATCTTCTGCTTCTGTCGCCAGTGGATCAATAAGTACATCTATTTGAAATTGCAGGTACTGGAAATTTTCTCTGAAAGAGCAGTAGGGGTTGGATAATAAACTTCAGACCAAATAACTTCACTGAGTTTAAGTTTGTAAAGTAATGGATGGATTGTATTTCTTCACTAAGCTTTTAGGTCTTTTTTCTGTTAATCATTTAATTTTCACCTGTGTTAAGGGCTTAAGTTGAAACAAGAGGGTTTAGCAATTTCTGTAGTTTGGGATGTCTCACATATTCTTGGAACTGCGAGCGGAAAGGGAAGAGGAAGAAACCACTAAATAAATGGTTTCACTACAACATTTCTCTAACTACTTTTTCTTTGTAGAATAAGATAAAGATCAATTCTCTTTGAAATGAGACTGGAGGAGGTTTAAAGAAACAATGACATTAAGTAGCATTAATTTCTTTAAAATTTGATTCTTGAGAGAATAGATATCTTGAAAGACTGAGATTAAGAAAAATGAGTCAGCATAATAGCAAGTTGATGTATTTCATTTAAAATAATACAAGATTGTTCCTGATTACATTGTGTTGACTGTAAAATGGCTTTGTCATTGTTCAGTACCAACTTTAGTTTTTTTTTTGGGGGGGGGTGGGTGGGTAGGGGTGTGGGATTGTTGGGTTTTTTGGCAGCGCTTCTGGCTCAGTACTTGTGTGTATTATATCAAACGAGTTTACTTGGAGGGGGAGGGTCTGAAGTAGTCTAACCCTTAGCTCATCAGAAATGCCCATATAAGCCCCAGAGTTATGTGTTATGCAAAGAACAATTTTTCTTCCCACCATTTTCATTTCATGAAACTAATTCATTCCCTTTATCTTTTTTTTTTCCATAAATTTGCTCATGTCTTCATCATCTTTTTCTTCCTAGACCTCTTTCTTGTGTTGTTCTCTAAGTTTTTAAACCATTGTATTTTGTCCTTGTTTTATAAAACAAGCACAGCAGCATAGTATATATGAAGATGTGGGTACACTGGATTTATCATGTGGAATAATTGTCTTTGGACTTGTTTTGTTTTTCTCTTTCTATTGATCTTGATATTGGATTAGCCTTAAAATGCACCATAAAACCAGAGTGTTCTTCAGGTGTTATTTGTCAGGTCAAAGTCCTGACATTCAACTGTCATTTTTCATTGACTTAGTTGGACAGTAAAAATTAGTCTTTCTGCAGGTTTTCACTAAAATCCTGATTTCTGCTTTGAATGTGGTTTGGTACTGTCAGCAGACTTTACCATCTTAATATTGTTCTAATTTTCCAAGTTGCTTATGAATAAACTGAGCAGTATAGATCCCTGAGAGTCTCTACCATTTAGCTTCATCCATGAACTAATCAATTAGTGCCAGCCTGTCTTTATTCCAGATTGCTTTACTTCCTTAACCAGTTATTTCTTTGTTCAAAGATATCTTGTCTGTTTAGTTTTAGCTCCCTTTGAGATATGTTGTTGAAGGACTTTGAAAGTTTTGTAGACGGCTTAAGTGGTGTTTCCATGAACCTCATGCCTTTTACCATTCTTGGAGCTTAGTTTGACTATAATTACCTCTCTCAAAAAGCATGTTGACTACTTCTGTCTGGTATATTATACTCATCCATACGTCATTTAACTCTGTTCCTTGTTAAAATTTTGTTGCAGTTTCTAGAAATTTACCTAAGGTAGACATCATGCTGCTTATTCTGGTTTTTTATTTTTTACTTTGTGGCCTATTTATTTAAAAATTGACTGAATATCTGTCTCACTACTTTTTGGAACCAATTCTGACTTGAGAGGCTGTAGTGTATCAGTAACTATTTTAGATATTACATCTTTGATTTTCTTTAGGATTTAGAAGTGAATGCAGTATTCAGTTTGCAGTATTGTAGGTATTCAGTTTGGGTTTTTTGGTTGCAGAAGAGGTAGTGAAATACCTCAGGTAATGAATTACCTTACCCTTGGTAATGAAATGGTCTTACTGTAACTTGGGAATGGTTAGGAAAGGAAAAGAAAGAAAATGACGATCTGGTGATTGTAGTGGTTTCCTTGCTCATGAGAGTGTGTACACAGAAGACTCAGAGTGGAACAGTGAAGTAGTGCCTTGTCTCAGGAGATCTCCTCTCTCTGGTCAGTGTGACGCAGAGCAAAGAAAGTTCTTTGCCATTTTGTTTCCTGCTAACAAGCTGTGTGAATTTGGAAATTTCTGTGCAGAGAATCTTTCTAGCTAGTTTCTTGTTGACTTCCTGGTTTTGTGGCGTTGTTAGAGAACTTCTTTTGCGCACAGACTTTAAGGGCTGCATTCCATCATGAACATGTATGCCAACCTACCCTTAAGGGACAGGGAGCATCTAATGTCACAGCATGCTTCACCTCTTCTCTCACAGAGGGTAATGCATGTGACATTCTGCCCTGTAGCAGGAGCCGGATTTTAAGCCTCAGGATTTATACCCTTGGTTCTCTGCTTATTCTTGATGAGAGCTCTTTTGAGTGTGGAGTTGACAACCAGTAAGAAGAGAACTACTTAGTCCAATCTTGTCACAGTTGCCATCTTAGGGGGTGGCTAGGCTTCCTCAGGCATCATGAGCAGGGTGGCCAGGACATTGATACTATAAAGAACATTTGCTACAAACTTTGCCATTGGATTGGTTTCCTCCTCTCTGGTCACTTTGTAGTTGATGTTATTCTTTAAGTGTGTGACTTGAAGGTCCCTGCAGTCTTTTGCCATCATTTGATGCAACTTTCTTAACTTGAAACTTCGAATGTGTGCAGGGATCCAAATGTCATCCTTTCTTCCTTTGCAGACGAAGATCATAATGAGGGTCAAAATCCCTGTGCATCCAGAGGTTTGTGGAAAGATACCTGTTATTTCCTGAGGGAAGGTGTTGGATCCAATTATATGGGTTTGTTCCTTCCCGCTTGGTTTCATTTCAAATGGCCTGACCTTTAGAAGGCTTTCTTGAAACAAATTCCCATGTTGTGGTAGGGCAGTCTCATTTGTTGCCTGAAAGCCAGGTTAATGGAACACTGCGCAGGCTTTGTTCCTGTTGGAACACGTGTGCTTCCCAGAGCCCTGGGCTAATAGCTGCAGCACAGGGACACTTGGACACTCATCCCAAGGACAGGAGCAGGTGGGTAACATTAACTATGGCTGAGGGATGCAGCTCAAGGTCATGATTTGGGTCAGTGCTGATTGCTGGCATATTCTCTGAAGAGCATTCTATTTACAGGACAACTCAGAGAATTTAGTTATAATTTGATCTTTCTATATTATGAATTAAATCCTGAACTTAAAATAGTGTGTATTTTTTATTATAACAGTAATATTTTGAATTTTTAGAATTAGTTAGAATAATGCACAGATGTAACATTATTTTTCAGAGAATTTGGAGGAAATTATTTGTACATAATGGAACTGCAGCTGTGAATGAACTTTTGTTTAAAAAATTTCTTTGAAACCCTTTACTCAAAACATTCATCCCTTTTGTCTTGGGCAGGCTCAATGAAAAAGTAAGACTGAATTCCTTTCACACCTTTCTTAAGCCTTTTATATGCAGACATTGGGGATTTAAGGAAAGTAAGCTGTGCATTTTTTATGTTAAATACATTTTATATTGCTGTCATTTCCCAACCTGTGTGTTCATGAAAAAAATGAAACAAATTTCTCAACTATTAGCTTTTTCCTAAAAAAAAAAAACCCAATCTCTCAACTGTAACTTCTGAAACCTAAAGCTTGTTTTATAATCAAGTCCCTTCTTCAAGTAATATTTTGTTTGTTCTGATGTCAAGTAAGCTTTGACAGCATTAACTATAATGCATTATAGATTACTATTTTTAGACTCGGTGTTCTGGTACATGGTTGAGTGTAAGAGATTATTTTAGAGCATTAAAAACATGTCAAAGTAGCTTGTGGAATTAAGAGGACAGGGGAAAGAGAAACAACCCCAGAATGTGACTTGCCAGAAACCAAAGTGTGTCAATGTATTTCATTTCATCAAAACAATCTTCATGATGCATTGTCATTTAAGTCTCAGTAGTGACATTTTTTTGTTTTCTTCCTTTTGCAGCATTTTTCCCCCTTCCCCCTTGTTGACAAGAGAGTTAGCATAAAGCCCCCAAGTTTTAAAATACTTTGTATATTTTGGTGAACCTGTAGAAAAGGATTCAGTATCATCATCCATTCATGTTTAAATGAAAATGCTGCCCATATCCGTGGAAATTAAAGGACTGTCAGAATAAGGCTGTGAAATCTGGATAAGATATCTGGGTAAGATATGGTAAATAGCCAGTCTGGCTTGCAGAATAACTAATCATGGGCTTTGCCAGTCATATACAGTGTATTTCAAGCTCAATTAATGTCATGAGAGAGTAAAGGATCATTGAGAAATCCAAAGAATTATGAAAGGACCTATCAATGTCTCTGGTACATTCCATATTTGCAGTAGTCTAAATTTGGTGTTAGAAAACTGGATTAAAAAAATTCTCTTGAAACCAAGGTAAACTGCTTAAATTCATAACTTTTGTCTTTACGTCATTGAAATCCTCCATGCACTGTTCTGATTTTGGCTGGAACAGGTTTAATTTTCTTTCTAGTAGCTGGCACAGACCTGTCTGTTTAGATGCACTATGAGTAACTTTGATAACACACTGATGTTTTAGTGGTGCTGAGTAGTTCTTTTTATCGCAATTATTGAACTGTTCTTTCCTCAACCCATGAGTTGTACTGTTTTTTTCTGGTTCTCCCCCACATCCTACTGGTGAGTGAGCAGCTGTGTGGTGCCTGGCTGCTGGCTGGGGTTAAACCATGACAGATGAGAAGAGTGGTCTCAGACTGTTCCAAAATCATATGTATGTAATCAGCTGTAGGGCTAAAATAATCCTGTAGGAATTTAAAAGAATGGGATTATTTGTATCAGTATTTAATGAATTGAAACAGCTCAATTCCCCTGGTGGAAAAATACCATAAAAGCTTGAGCCTTTATTGATGAACTTGACTCTTAAATTACAAGGTTGCATTTAAATTATTCATTTTTGTACCCCTTAAAAGAACCAAGAATAGTTAATTCTAGGGATATTTACAAGCTATTGCAGAAGTAAAAATAAATTTCATAGAATGTTTTAAAATATGCAATAATCTCTTGAAAAGCTAGTGATCTACTTATGATATTTCTGTAGGAGTCTTGAATATAAATTATTTTAATTTTGTTCCTCAGACTTTTTTGGTTTATTTGTGATTGCATTTTACAGTCCTATGTAAGTCTCTCTCAGTTAACTGCTGCAGTTGCTGCAAAAATCTTTCCTTAAAATCAGGCATGCTCCCCTTATTTGCAAGCAGCATTTTTCCACATGGGATAATCTTTTTGGAACAGATGGTGAATTGATTCTGTGTTTGTGTACACCCTGTCTTCACATAAAACTCAGGCATAGTTTCTACAATTTCTTGTTTAGGTATATATAGGACAGCAAGGTCAATTGTGTTTTGATTCAAAAAAGTAAGATTCAATTCCCCACTCCCCCAGAAAATACTTAACTTTCTTAGAAGTTTTGAAACAAAATTCCCTAGAGTCCAGAACAAGTACCTTAAATTTGAATTACAGTGGAGGATAGTAGGAATACTTCTAATAAGAAACATTCCGTGGTAATTAATTAAATACAAAGATTTATCTGCACAAAGTTGATTGATTTTTTATTAGAGTTCTCTCTGTGAGTTCCTGTAAAGATTGCCTGTATTTGGTTCGTGCTTGTAAATGGAAGGACTCAGAACAGTAGTGAGGTCAGGACTTGATTTACCTGCGCAGACAGCTCCATTTATGGATACAAATGCCTTGTGCCTTAAATATAGCAACAATCTTCTATGATACTTGGGTATGATCTTGTTATAAGGGGTTACTTTCTGGGCCCATGTGACCAGAAGAGATGACACAGTTAGATTTGTGCCAGCTCATGTAAGCATACTGCTGCATTATGGTACCAAAAAGAAAACAGGAAGTTTTAATAATTGAGAATTAGAGTGAAAACCAAGAGTTTTATTCTGCATCAGGAAGTTTTGTGTGAAATATTGCAATAAAAATATATTACTCCTAGGGGCTCTCTAGTGTCTGGGAAGATGTGCTGAGTTTTGCAGTCTCAGTGGATTCTGCTTAATTTTTCTATTTTATGCTTTCCTTCAAATTCCAGCACTAATAATAACCGTGGAAAAAATGAAAAAACTTTTTTGTTCTTGTGTATTGAGATGATTTTTCAGATAGCAGTTTTGTTTTGGTGATTGAGACTCTTGCTAATCAACAACTAGTGTTATCAGCTAACTGGTACTACTTAAGGTTATTATACTTCTTTCATTATAAATGTATTCTCACCTGACCAGCTTGTTGTGTACCTCAGGATAGTGCTGGAGCTACTTACAGATTTGGTTTTATTTTTTAGGCTTGTAAGAGTTTGTGAATTGTGTGATAGCGAAGGATATTGCTCTATACAAAAGTTTATCATACCCATCCCATAGAGTTGTTAGTTGGATTATTTTTAAAAATATAAAAGATATATTTTGGTTGTATTTTTAAAAATATTTAGCTGCATTACTAAATATAACAAATTACTCTAAAACTAAAGAGACTAAAACTAGGCAGTAAATTGCCATAAAGTCAAAAGGCTTATTGTACTCTTTGAGAGATTTTATAATTTTCATCCCTCCATGTTCCTTGCAGAAAGTGAGAGCAGTGATCCTTCTCCTTTGTGCTCAGATCTTTTTATCTTCTTAAGCATTAATGGTGTTGGAACAGTAACAGGTTGTTGCATTTCTCTTCTCTTGATGTTCTTTTTCAAGAAAAGGAAGAAGTGATCATTTCTCAGATGTATTCTTCCTTCCTTTTATGAAACTTTGCTGTCTTACTTGTTCTTAAGACCTATTTCTACATAAATGTGGATTGAACTGTTCAATTTACACTGTGGGCTGCCTACTGTTATCAGGGTTAGACTTCATATGGGAGATTGTGTAAAATATACAGATTATGTTGTATTGCTAAACATGCTGTAGACATTTATTTTCTCAGTGACAAGAGCTTTTTAAAATACAGCCTTCTCTTTACCAATCTGCACTTCAAACTTATTGATCCCTTGCTTTATTTGGTGTAATGTTGGTAAATAAAGAAAATTTTTCAGTATTTATGCAAGATTTCTTTTATAATACTGTATTTTTTGATAATTTATTTTTTTAAATTTAATTTTTTAAAAAAATACTTTTTATAATAGTTTTTGCTAAATAAAAATTTGACAGGCAGAATGATCAAGACCATTTCACTTTGACAGCAGGAGACATCATGTGAGGAATTATGTTCAGGATTCTCAGTTACATGTGTAGATGTGATACTGGTACACAGAATCTCTTTAACAAAATCTATGGTGATTCCACAATACATAGGGAACAATATTAAATTTCACTAAGAAATGCTGAACTTAATCTGTAGTTTACATATATCCATATGTTATATTAATTTATTGGGGAAATTTTTATTGGAGACTCTAGGCTCATACAGCATTTTCTTCTGTCATTTAAACTCTGGATTCTCCCATTCAGTTTGCTGGAAACTGTCTTGTCTCTCTGTATAACTTCATGAAATATGAAGATCTGATCTGTGTATAATCAGTTTGAGCAAAGCTCGCTTGGATCTGTCTTGAGATGTGCTCTTCATCCAGTAATTACTGCTTAAGCTGTCATTGCTGGTTACAGTTCTCTACTGCTCACACAGCCAGGTTTCCTTACAGAGGAAATCCCAAGGTCCCTGAGGAGCTGGAGTAAGCCCTTCTTACAGACAGAATCACTACTGAGGGTATCCAATAAGGGTATTGTAAAACCCATCAGTTTTCACTTATTCAGCACCTGCTTTTCTAGTTTGCCTAATGTCTTTGTCATAAAAGTAAGTCTACCTTTTCAGTAATACCAAAGTTCTGTACTTCTTGCAGTTATTGGTTCCTTTTGCACCTTCTGTTTAGTAGAGAAATACTCTAAGGTTTCATTGTTTACTGATATTTTCATGCTATAACTAAAATTCCTGTGATTACCTAATGGTTTCATGATGTCTCCCTGTACTAACAGAGATGATGAAAGCAGAAATGGCACCAATCTTTCCTTGCTAGTTAATATTTTTGCCTTATTTGTATTCTTCGCATTATTGTTTACTTTCTTCTTGCCTGAAGGCAGCCACTAGATTTTATTTATTTAGCTATTTTCTGTAGATTTTATGTGGCGTGGTGTAATTGTTCCATTCTTCATTTTAGGAATCTAGAGATGATTTTTTATTTATGGAAAATTTTACAAGTAGATTCCTATGTTTTACTGCACCTCAAAGCTGCCATTGCAACATTAGAGTATCCAGGCTAATACTTTGCTTTCATCATCATAATTTTAAAAAAATCTTGTTACTTCAGTTCTTGTTTTATGGAAGTTTTGAGCCAGTGCTTGCTTCTTGTGCTCATCCACATAAACAAACATATCAAAAGATTATGTAATACTTGAACTTAATGATCTCATCCCATTTTTTTTTGTCTGGACAGTATGTTTTTCACAGTACTCAAAAATTTTGGTTAGCAAAGCTTAAATAAGAGCTTGCAGTTATTCTCTTCCTGCTAACTTTCATGGAAGAAAGCTTCAATACTGTGCTGAGAAGGGTGGATTCCCTACTTGCTCCGCTGAACAGGTCACTACAGTGAAGACAGTATTTTTGATGGGTAAAGTGTGTCTGAAAGTACTAGTTACTTACAGAAAACTTACCGTGAGTAAAGAGAGGTATTATTTAAACAGTAATTTTTCTAATTGGCTTTATCTGTTTAATGTCATGAGGAAAGTGTTAAGAATAAAATGTTAATAAGATAAATGATTTATGTTGCTCTGTTTTTTCTTGCCTAGGCTATCCACTCTGTGGCTTGGCATCATGAAGGAAAACAATTCATTTGTAGTCACTCAGATGGTACCTTGACCATATGGAATGTAAAATCTCCTACCAAACCATTCCAGACAATCACTCCACACGGTAAGATGACAATGGATATGCACTGCACTTGACAGCTCTTAACACGTAGAGAACTTGTTTTTAATAGAAGTTTATTTTGCAAAAAACAAGTATTAAAAGTGCACTTGCAATACAGTTAAAATCTTTCTCAGTCATATAGATTTCTCATAGATTTTACTTGAAAAAGAAAAATCTTTATGGGATAAGAATCCTAGTCAGTGCAGCTTTCTCTGAACCTTAAGCTTGTCTTCCACACAGTGACACTGATCTCAGAGTTAACTAATGCATACTTTGCAGGGCTGGCTTTTGGCTTGACATTACAATCCCATATATTGTTAAAAATACATATGAGCAAGTACCTGTTTTACGTATAAATGTGTAGATTGCCACATAAATTTTCGGAAAGGTTTGTAACAGAATAAGAATAGCATCTCGTGAGATGTGCCCACTTCTGAGAGGTCTTGCATTAATGTTAATCTAGGAAATTAACATTACATGTTGTTCTTCTGTGAAATATACTGCTGCTCTCCAAGTAAGTTCTACACAAATGCCAGGCTTACATGGTGTGCATGTCTCTATTTCATGTCTTAGCATCTTAATTTAGATTTTAAGTGAGGCTGTATTAGTGGGGATAATAGCACACTTGAGAGAGGGCGGGCTTTTCATGCTCAATTGAAGTCTTAGCCATGAAGGATAATAATCAGGATAAACCTCACTTGTAAGCTGACCAATTTCAATTGCAAAAGGGTAGACACATAAATTTTAAATCTCCTAGTTCTACTTAAAACAGCACTTTAGGGGAGGATTATGCATTTGAAAACAAATATTCTACAGCAGTCAGGTTTAGAGTTAGTTTATTCCTAAACATTCTAAGTTGGTGTGTTGAGCTTTAACAGATTTTTAATTATGTTATTCCAAGGCATACTCTATAACTGTCAAAGTTGTTGAATATATGTTTGCATGAATTTTATACTTCTCAAGCTGCACAGTGAATTTCATTACTTGCCATAATGTTACGGAAGTGTAAGATTAACACAGGAAAATCATTTGCTTTAGGGAAGCAGCTAAAGGATGGAAAGAAGCCAGAACCCTGCAAACCTATCCTTAAGGTGGAATATAAAACAACTAGAGCTGGGTAAGACTTGTTTTATATGCAAAATGAATATATGTTACAGTTCAACACTCGGGGGATGGACTTTGTTTCCCAGTTGTTTGGGCACATGTTCTGATGGTATAGCTTTGTTTTAGCTTTGCTAAATTAGATATTTGATGAAAAAACTACAAAAACTTGTATGAAGGAATTACTATAAACAAATCACCAGCACTGCTAATGCATTAGCTTCATTCTTCTTTCATGTTACTAAAACTTATATGTGCTTTTGCTCAATTTTTTGCAAGTTCTAAAGAAAATGAAGATGATAAAGCACAGAAGACAACACAGACATGATTAATTGAACTCTAATAAATAGTACCCCGAATTGAATATTCTAAAATTTGAATACATGTTCCTCCCCCCTAAAATGTTATTAACAGATGTTTTTCTAGTAGAGTGCAGTAATTTATGCAGTGAAGTGTGCCTAATTATGCATATTGAAAATGTAACAAAGCAGTAATTGCAACAAGATACTCAGATGAAATTACAGTATCTAGAGTAGCATGTTTTGTTACCAAGACTGGAGTTAGGATGGATGGATTTCATGAACTGTGTGGAATTTCTTCTATTTGTGTTTCTGAAGTGTTTGAGTAAAAAGTGCAATATAAAGATGAAATATTCATGGAAATATGTTCAGCTATTTGTAAAAGCTGATTTTTTGTTTGTTTTCTTTTATTATTTAATTTATTATCATTTATTTATTCTATTTTTAATTTAATATTTTATATATCTAAAATTTGTATTTTATTTAATAATTTAATGTTTAATATCTTGATATCATGTTTTTATTTTTTTATTTTATTGTTTATTTCTTTTATATTTTGTTTGTGTACTATTTTTATTTGCTTTCAGGAATTCAAATCTTTAGAAGATGATTACTTAAATGATGCAGTATGTGTTGATATACTCATAATATCACTGGCTTCAGGTGTTTTTATATTTTGCTAAAAGTGAGGTAAATAGAAACTTAAAACTCTGCCTAGATCCCAGTTTTATAAAAATCTGTCATCTGGAAAGCCATGGTTTACTTGTGAAAGTCTACATCTGTCTGCATAATCCTTTCACAACTGAAATATCAAAAGCTGATCTAAAGAGAGATAATCAAAAAGATCTCAGCTTCAGCAAGTTACAATTTCTGCAATCAAGAGCCTTCTTTTATGAATAGTCATTCTGAAGGAGAAGATTAGTTTGGAGCTTATTCTGTGACATTATATTATTACAATATGAAAACTACTTGACTTTTCACATAGTTTAAAGAGTAGTTTATTCTAGTATAATTTCTAAGAATTCTTGGGTGTTTAGAGAGGCTACTTTTTCCTAGTGTTTGGCTTGTGTGGTTTTTTTTTTCCTGTTGCATTTCTCACTTTCTGATATTTATCCAAACTGAATATTTTGATACATTTCAATTTACTCTTCTCTCTAATGTTTTCTATCTTCGGTGTACTGTTAAATCTACAATTATTGATAACTTTTCCTGAACTTTAATTAAGAGAGGGGGGGAAAAAAAAAACCTGGAAAAACCCCACCAGTCTGCACTGTGGTAGAGAAGCAGTGCACTGGAAATCTCCGTTCCTTTACTGCTATGAGTACTTGAGTTTGCAATTCAATTGTCAGTTTCACTTGTAATCTTACAAGATTTTTAAGGCAAGATAGAACTACCTTTCAATAAATTTTTGGTGGATTTTCTGTTTACCATTTTCAATTGTTTAATTCTGAGCAAGGTAAGATTTTAACTTTAGATAAAAGTGCTGTCATTTCTTAGATATGGTTTAATTTCTGTAGCACATAGGAGAATCATTTCTGGACAGGACAAAATTTTTCAGGCCACTGAAACAATGTAGGAAACATATCAAACTTTTTTCTATAGCAATTCACTATAGCTATTCTTCAAATATTAAAAACAACAGAAAAAAAGCAAAGAAAGTTTGCATTTAAGAGATAATATTTAATGCTTATTTAAGATATATTTCAAATCTTTATTATGAAAAAATGTTCTTTATTTCCATGCTCTATTTTGAACATCTATCACCCCTTTTTTTTGTTTCTCCCTTACCTGTCTAGAGTGGTCAAAGATCTAGGTCTGTTTCGGTACCTCCTCCAGTGGAAAACATTTCACTGATACGATCTTAACTGGTTTTTTTGCTGCTTCTAATTCTAATAAGCTGTTTTTGGAGAAAAGGAGTTCAGAACCATGCAAACAGAAGGACAGTAACTGATGGCAACCTATATTAAGGGCTACAGACACTATTCTTTTTACTGTTGCAGAGCTATTAATTCCTTCTCACTTTTTTTTTTGTTTTTCCTTGCATTTTGTTTTCCATATTATAAAACTGGGGTCAGGACAAAAGGAGGACACGAGGCTTTTCCTGGGCTTTATCAGCTACCTATTTATTTGCTAACTTTGTGAGGTTTTCTGTTGCTTTTTGTTTGTTTGGTTTGGTTTTTAAGTGTACTGCAAATAGTGCAAATGAAAGTGAAGTGTCTAGAGCTAAAGTAATTTACCCTGCAACAAGAGTATATCTGTAGCTTTATTTCTGAGAGAAAGGTTACTATTGATGAATAAGGTGTGAAAAAGGTACATTCTTTGTATAGTCCTTGTGCAAAGTGGCATAATTTTGAAATCTCAGACCATAATGTCACTCTACTGCAGTCACTTTTCATCTAAAATACTCCATCTTTTGTGAAGCACTGAATTTCAAAGGTAGCTTACCTTTTGAGCTTTCTAAAATGGTTCCCATACTGCTTTTTTTTGTCTAATCTAGAGACACTCTAGCTTCCTAATGCCACTCCCTCCCACTCCAGATTCAGTCCTTCCTCAAGTCCTTCATCCTTTCCACATGTGCAGGTTCAGTACCCTACAGTATTTACTCTGGTTGATATTAGCATTATGGTAAAATTGCCTGTGTCTAATAGAAATTAGAGCTCAAAAGTCTCCATGTAAAACATAATTCAGAAGGGTTTTGTCTTGGTAGCTGATGCAGCTGTCATTGACTAACTGAGTGGTGCCTCTTAGCAAGATGGTTGTGTGTAACTGGGACCTAGAGGCTGCATTAATGATGATGGTTCCCACTAAGTAAAAGTTGTTAATCTGTTCATTTAGTTTGAATAATGCTCTTTACTTGTGTGAGCTTACTGGTTTAAAACCACACTTCCTAAAATAAATTTGAAGTTTTATCTTCACTACTACTGTAGGACTTCAAGTATTAGGGTAAACTAACTCTTGAAGTCTTTTGCATCTTCATACTAGGATTAACTTCTCCACAGATTGTCATGATTTGAAAAGTAAGCCAGATGGTACCAATGACCTGATTTCTCTATATGTCATTCTCTCACACATCTGGATTGTCAGAAGCTGGCTCACATTTGACGGTTTTCTTCTAAAATTGAACAGAAACGTCTTCCTGGGTTATGAGCCACTCAACTCTCAATTGTATTATGTTTCCATAGATTGCAAGACCTAATCCTGTATTTTTTGAATTTTTTTTTTCAATGACTTGTTACCCCCTTTTATGGTCAATTTCTTATAGTATTCTCTAAGTGATTTTACAAATTTCACTGATGAGGAAATTCATCTAAGTGGATTACTTGCAAACCTGCTGAAGCTGAATTGTTTCAAAGAATCTCTATGGGCAGCTGCTAAAAATGCTATAAAGCAATTCTCTAAGATGCAAATTCTGTTTTTTTTTAAATGTGTTCCATTGTTTCAGGTAGGTAAAATGTAATTCCCAAAGTTGATTCAGTGTCATCTATTATATAAAGTACAAATCTTCTACATTTTTATTTTAAATTATGTATTTCTAATTGATGTGCACTAACCTTTTAATATGTCTCAGCTGAAGGGCAACACTTTAATTAGAAAATGCACATTCTGTGTTTATGGTAAATCCATGTTTCATGAAAATATGAAAAATTCATACACAAACTTGTAGTGGTCTTTATGACAGACTCAAGTCGGGTTTAATCTTTGCTTCCTTTGTGGAAAATCTGTGTGACAGATCAACGTGCTCTATTTTTAGCTCTTCCATTCCTTGTGTCTAAAGGATACAGTTTCTGGCAAGCCTGCCCAAAGCAGTTTGATTACCTTGAGAAATAAAACCAGGAGAAGCCGACTTAAAATTGTCTCTGTGTATGAAAATTTAAAACTGAAATTTGTTACTCTGTTACTGTCAGTTGATCTCAGTGAATCTGCAAACCTGATAATTACTACAAATTCTCCTGGCAACATTATTGCTTAAAAAATCTTGATGATTTCTATGGACAAAAAATACTGCAGTAAATCATTCCAAAACAATGAGACCTTACCAGTATTTTTCTCTTCACTGACATCCTGAAAAATACCAGACAAAAGTAAAGGGTGTAACTTTCTTAAAATTTCTTCATGGACATGACCGTAAAAGATTGTGTGAAGTTTCAATACAAAGAGCTGAGATTAAATGAAGACTCAGAGAAAACTTAATCCTTTTCTAGGAATACACTCTGGGCTACTGTTAGAGGCAGATATTGAACTTGATGGAGCCATGGTCTGATTTATGGCTATTCCTTTGAGGTCTCTTCCTTGGCCAGCAGCACTCTTTGATCTTATCAAATCTTTGGTCATATGTCTTTCTGGAAGATCAAGCAAATTGTGAAATAACTGTAGAAGCTGGAAGCTTCTCTCAGTCTGCTTTGCCTTCAGTGCTACAAACACGAAATACATTGCAGCCGAGTCTTAAACTCATAAAGTGCAGCATGCGCATAAACCAAACCCTTAATACGCATTTTTTAAGAATTCAGATGTATCTAGTCTCACTTGGTGTTTCAAATGCCATCTAGGGAAAGCCATTTAGACAGTATGGAAAAGAATAGGAAATAGGAAAGGATGGGGGGGGAAAAAAAAGTTTTCTTCAGCGTCTCTTTTTACAGTACATCAGGATGGGGTTTTTTTTTCTGTAGAAATTTTCTCCAGATATTGATATACTAGCTGCTTCCAAGGAAGATGCAAATGAAGGGCAGGATTTTTACTGAAAGTGAGCATAAAAGTCAATCAGAAGCAACTGACAGATATGCAAAGTGCCCATTTTTCCTTCAGAAATATAACATGAAATTTCAGGCAATAGTCAGTAATGAGTAACATTTATTTTTTGAGCTGCCTACTTACAAACAGTCAGTATACTCTTTAAAAAGGATTATGTCGCATTTCAAACATAAGCAGTATTAAAATGAGTAACTCTAGACAATAAGGAAGTAAGAAAATACCTGGTAAAATTAACATATTTACTTCATCTTGTTTTCAATAAATGAAATAATAAATTGTACATTAAATCCATATATTGGAAATATATGGATTTATTTACAAGTATGTTTCTGCAAAAGCTTTTAAAAAAGTTTCAAGGGAAGCCTCTAATCTGCTCTTGAGACTAAAAGAAATATCTCTGCTTTGCTTGGCTATTTGATTTGGCAGTAGGAATAATATATAAAAAAGGAGTTTCTTGAATTTTGTGCATGGTGGTAGGGGCAACAATGGGTAAAACATCTAGAGTAAATGTGTGATATTACTTAAAAGATGTTGTGTCTTTAAAGCTTATCAAGCAGTTGGTTGCATCTCCATCTGCGACAAGACAGTCGTATGCCTTGTACATATGTACAGCCAGTGAATGGGACTGTTTCTTCCTGATTCTGGGGTGTTTTATGTCAGGAAAGAGGGACTGTTAGTAAATCTGACTCTGCAGTTCAGTAGAAAAAAAACAACTCTAAAACAGTACAAAAATTTTAAAAATATTTCATCTTGCCAAGAAGTTATAAAGCTTGATTAAACCAACAAAATGCTTGGAGGAGATGTCAGACTTAAACAAGAGTTAGAATAAGATTTAAAATACATACCCAAGCTGTTTATTTCATGAGAGCTGGTTTGCATTATTTTTACTACATTTCTGCTTATTTATATTTCACTGAAGTTCATCATAAGGTTGCAAAACCTGCCCAGTCTCTTTTAGCATGTTATCCTGGCTTGATCCTAAATGCTGCTTCTTTATTCCAGGGAGCCTTTCATCATTCTCTCAGGAGGCTTGTCGTATGACACTGTAGGAAGAAGACCATGTTTAACAGTCATGCATGGGAAAAGTACTGCTGTGCTAGAAATGGATTATTCTATTGTTGACTTTCTAACCCTGTGTGAAACACCATATCCTAATGGTAGGCTCTGTAAAGATTTTTTTCTGTACCTTGACTCCTTATCGCTGGAGTTTTATCCCATCAGAATATTCTTTACTATTGTCTTTCTGTTTTATCTCTGAGGATCAGACTGCAGCAGCAACATCTGTTATCCCTATTGTCTGAAGTGTGGTTTACTTGCCAAAACATCGTAATAGAATAGTTTATTATAAAGCCAAACTTATGTCTAGAAAAAAGGCAATTACTCATAGCATGGTTTTTTGGGGTTTTTTTTAATCCCAAAAGCATGTGCAGACAAAAAGCATTACAACTTCAAGCTGTAGTTACTGGAGCAGATGTGTTTATCTGTGGATATTTGGGCACATAAGGCCTTTCCAGTCAGTGCTAAATCATGAGGAGCATTTTTGTATTATTTTTAACTTTTAGTGGCTTTATTCATTCCCCTACTTACATGGATTTCACCACTAACCTGTAATCTCTCTTCTGCAGCAGGGGATTTCTTATCATAGTTTAGGTAGTTATCTCAGATGAACACTGTTATATTGCTGATGATTCCAATGGTTTTAGCTGTGAGCTTCCATCAGAGTATATGAAATTGCTTAGCTTGGAATTTGGGATCTATCTGAAAGAGGGCAATTAAAACTTTGGAAACTTTTTCAAGTTTCTTATTTTATTGTCAAGTCAGCTGTCTTTTGAGCCACTTTGTAAACAATTAAAACTTAAACCCCACTGAATATGAGGAAAAGCAGTTTAGGGGTGGGAGGATATTATTCAGAAATTGGCTCTTTGTCTCATATTATCTGCTTATACAAGTTACTCTGCAGGTTCCTTTTTCTGTTATTTGAGCTGATGAGAAAATTGAATAGAAGAACAAGATTTTTCCAAACGTGGAGTATTCAAGAATCAGTGTATATAAAATATCTTCAAAAACTAGTAATCTAAGTGCTTTCTAATCTCAGCTGCCAGAGTACAAGCACTGATTCCATTCTTGAGGCTGTGCATGCATGGGCTCCATTTACCAATAGGTAACTTTTTGTTGTTGTTTTCAGACTTTCAGGAACCATATGCTGTAGTTGTTCTCCTAGAAAAGGACTTAGTACTGATTGACCTTGCACAAAATGGGTAAGAACCTTCTGGAGTCTTTTTAATCATTGGCTGCGATGGTCAGCCTACTGTTCTACTTTATAGATTTTTAGTCCAACCTAATGCCTCAGAACATAAAATTTTGAACATTAAATATAAAATTTCTTCAAATGAACTGATAATCTTGTTATATCAACTTTTTTTAAAGTTAATTTATAGTAGATGAGTAGAGTATCATGTGACTTTTTTCCAGGCTTGGTTGACTGACCAATAGATTATTCATAGATGACTTCTGCTTGTTAAGTGTCACAGTTTATTTTAAAGTTACTTGGTGTTGTGAGAGGAGTCTGAAGTCTTGGGGAGCTTGCAGTTTTGAGGAAGGCAGCAGGGAGAAGAACTGATCAGATAACCCAAGTAATTTTGGCTGTTGTCATCTCTTAAAATAGTATTTATATATAATATTATATATATATATAATATATATAATATAATCTCACTTAAATACTTGCTGATCTTATTGCCAAATAAATTGCTACCTGAATTGCTTAAAGTAACTCCATACTGATGCAGCAATATAATATATATAAAATTTGAATGATAATGTCTACTCTCTGGTTTATATCTGTGGTAAGAAATTGCTTAAAAGGAGTGTCCAACTGCAGTATTCACAGATAATACCTGCCTAAAACATTGAGTGTCCTGTTGCTTTGTCCATGTACTAGTCCATACACTCTTATTAGTGGTGATTAAAAATTGTAGACACTACAAAATTTTTTTATGAAGGGTATTAAAATTTGTATAGACAGTAACACCTAACTATTAAGGGATCAGGAGCAGAGGAACTAGGTAAAACTTTGCTACCATTCCTGATTAAGGATTTCCAATGGTCAATGAAGAAAAATCCTTGTGAAGAACATGCTTCTAGGGCAAAACAAAAGCCTGTAAATATTTGTCCTCAAAGTCAGTGGTGACACCTTGGACAATTAAGACTGTGGAATCTGGAGGATGATCAAGTTTTGTCCTAATAGCTCTGCAGCTATTGCACAATTTCATTTAGGTTTTCTGAATGTTACATGGCCATATGCTGTATCCAAAACTTGTTTCTGATATACCAATAGCATTAAGTGTCAGCTATTTAGTTAGAAGTGCCTGAAATTTGAAGTTATGTTCAAGCTAATTCTTTTTCATTTTAAAAAATCTTCAGCAGTTTGTTTTTACAATGGTCTGTTATGACTGACTTGCAAACTACTAGTTGTCTGACACCTAAAAAAGAAATAAAATTAATAAAAAAAAAAAAATCTACAGGCTTTCTTTTACCTTGTATTCTCACAGGGATTTGTCATACTTTGTTAAAGTTAAGCCTCTTCTGCATGTATTTTTAAAATATTTTGTAGCTTTCCATATAGCCCTGTAAAAAGTTCCTGATGTGCAGAATGTTTTCATCTGTTGTTGCTAACTTTTTCTTTTAGATGGGATGAGAAGTTGTCTTTTCACCTCTCAAAAAAGGGGAGATGAAAAGAGTAAAATTACATATAGTGTGCATTTCTCTGGAGATAAATGGTCTTTGAACACTGACACATTTACCTCTGTTAGTATTGACCTTTTTCCTCATTAAGCCTCTGTCACTTTTCTGATGGAGGTAGTGCTGGGGAGCATGTATGTGTATGTTCTTCTAATTCATAATGGAGTGTTACTATCTGTAATTTTCAGATCTTTGGAGATGCAAGTATATTAAGAAAAATTTGTCCATGCAAAATGCTGGACAACTTTCTGTTTTAGTACAGTGTACTAATACAAAATGCGATGGGTGTCTTCCTGTCTTTATCCGTAGAAGAATAGACTGAAGAGCTAGAAATAAATTCATAGCTCCATGTTACTGCAGCTGAGACTTGGCGGTTTATTTTTTTCCACAGGCCACTAAATTAGTAACCTTTTGAAAATATAAAATGACAAGGAATAGCAGTGTTCTGGAAAAACTCTAAAAACCGTACAAACTTTAGATTCCATCTAGATTACTACACTACCTACTGCTCATACTAGATGAGCAGTAAAGTTGTGTAGTGTATTTGTTCATAGTCTAATTTGATACGCATTTATTTTCTCTGTATGAAAAGAATGCCAGCTTAGTCCTTAAACACTTTTTAACTTGTGTTAACTTGTGTTCTGCACTTAAAAAAAGTTTTTCCTAGATTAACAGTAATCCTGCTCTTCCTTTAAAGGTATCCTATATTTGAGAATCCCTATCCTTTGACTATACATGAGTCTCCAGTTACCTGTTGTGAGTATTTTGCTGACTGTCCTGCGGATCTCATACCTGCATTCTATTCAGTTGGTGTTCAACAGAAACGTCAGGGTTACAGTAAGAAGGTACAACATCTACTACACACGTTTGTATTTTAAAATACTGAGAATCAGAAGCTCTAAATAACAGGAGTGTCCATACTAGGACCAAAGCTTCACCTGACTCAGCTTGCCTTTGACACTGGCTACTAGCAGGGGAGGATATATGTGGCTAATGTCTGGGGAGGATCTGCAATAATTTGCCTTAACTTTGCACTGTATGATATTTTCTTCCTCAGTATATTTGTTAATCTTCCAGGAATGGCCTATCAGTGGAGGCAACTGGGGTTTGATCACACGGAGCTATCCAGAGATAATTATTACAGGGTAAGTGATACCAGAGTCTACTAATAACTTTCTTAGCTCATTAAGTAGTAGTGAGAATTTTTTGTTTCTCTTTTAGAATATTTTGTATGAGTGGTTTGAGTGATTGATGAAATTATGATCACCAGACATGTCCTTGGCATAATCTTCTTGGCGTGGTACTGAGAAAGCAAAACAGAATATGGAAGGGGAGGTAGAAACAAAATGATAGCAGGTGTTTCACAGGCATTATTACTATTCATTGTAATTATTATTATGTGGTATTGTGATTACATGTGATTACTATTAAAGTAACTTGGATCAAAATTACCTTTTATTCTTTGATTTTTGCAAAACAGCTGAGTATTGTTTTAAAGCATGGTAGGTCCATTAAATAGTTACTGAGTTCAGATCTTCCTCAAAGGGAAGCCAATTTTTTATCTCAAAAAGGACAAGCCAAGACTTAAATCTGATCATTTTGAGACTGATCTTTCTACTTTAAGGAACATAAATGAAATTTAATTTATAGCTTTGCAGTGTATCACTGAAAGTGAGAGCACTACTAAAATGTTTTTAGAGCAGCCCATTAGCCCTAATCAGGATTACTGTCATCTTGTACTACACATTACAGAGACTTTGAGACAGTCCTGAAAAAATAGTCATCTGATTCTCAAACTCCAGGCTAAATAAACAAGTTAGATGACTCATTAACAGTGGGATTCTGTATATTTAGGCATCTTCTTTACATGTGTTGCTCCTAATATAGGGCATCTTTTAAGAAACAGTACATGGTAAGGTATGCCTCAGTATTTAAAATTTTAAATCATCAAGGAGTTAGCCTCCAAGTGTTTTTCTAGTCTCTTCTGTCCAAAGCAATTGCAGCACATGTTGGTAGAATATTGACTTTTAATAAATTGTGAAAATAAAGTGTCACTGAGAAGACTAATAAAAATAGAATGCTAAGTGTATACTTTCCAATCAGTAACAGAGGTTAGCACTCCAACTAATCATTTCATCATCTCATTATTTTTTTAATATTTCATAGGCATGCTGATGGATCAATCAAGTTTTGGGATGCATCAGCAAGTAAGTGTTTTCAGTAGAGATCTTTCCTGTGCAGTTTTAGATTTTTCATCTTCAGTTGAAGAGTTAATTACTTCTGATATTTGGCATAGCTCACAGTGAAAAATGCAGCAAGAATCCGAAGTAGAAATGATTGCACAAAGTTAGGTGTTTGAATTGGTCTAGTTGGAACTAGTTTTACTCTTGATACCTAAAAGCTGTTTAAGGCAATCTTGGAATCGTCATTAGTTATCTTTGAAAACTCGTGGAAAACTGGTGAGATTCCAAAAGGCTAAGGCGTGTGTGGTTGTGGGAGGGAACAGATGCAATGTATGTTTAAAAACTGGGAGGAGGGCTATTTGGAATGATATAGATCTTTAATTTCAGTTTGGAGTAGGAGTGGAACCTGGGAGAGAGGAGGGGGGAAGCCAAATCTGACTGATTGTGTGCTTAAAAATTCTATTCAGTGTAGATCTGTCAAAATGAGATTCTGTTAAAGACTACTTAGTTTCTTTCTAAAACAGATAAATAAATCTATTAAGGGGGAAATTGCAAGTGTCCTCTACATTGATTTAAAAACTTTTCAGTTTTTCTAATACGACAGTCTTACAGATGAACTAGGGAAATGTGATTCAGGTAAAACGACTGAAAAATGGAAGAGGAGAAAGGATGCTATAATTCAGGTTTTTCTAATATTGTGGTTAGTATTTATAGCAGTGATTTGGGCCTCTGACTAGACAATATGCCTGTGAACTTTGAAATCAGCATGAAGACAGTTGAAGGAAAATGTAACACAGAATTAAAATTGCAGTTGAGAAGGGTACAATTCAAGAATTAGTTATAGCAATATATTAGCTATCTGTTTCGATCAAAACTAATTTTTCTCTTTTGCTTTGTTCCTAGTAACGCTGCAAGTACTCTATAAGCTAAAAACAGCCAAAGTATTTGAAAAATCACGGAATAAAGATGACAGGCCAAACACAGATATAGTAGATGAAGATCCATATGCTATTCAGATCATCTCATGGTGTCCAGAAAGTAGAATGCTGTGCATAGCTGGAGTTTCTGCACATGTCATTATTTACAGGTTCAGCAAGCAGGAAGTGACAACGGAAGTCATTCCGGTGAAGTGTTTGGCCATTTTTTAACATTTTTTTTGCCATAATAAGACTGTTTTAGCAATTTACTGTATTTTTGTCTTTAATTATATTGGTGAAATGGGCAAAAACTAATTGACTCAAAATAAAGAGAGGTGGGTTTTTTGAGAGAAAGTAATTAATTATGAAATTCAGCAAAAGTAAATATTGCACACCGATATAATGGCTTTCAGTGACTTCCTAACTGAGAGTGTGTGCCAGCAGAATGATAATTAAATGGGTCCAGTATTTAATTTATTTCAATATTATGAAGCAAACTTTTAAAAACTGGGAAATATGTCTGACATTCAAATTCTAGCAATCTTCAGATATTCAGTCTGTAACAGTATGGCTGTATTTCTGAAAAATGTGTCTTTAAGTTGCATTGTTTATTAAACTGTTACCTTTTAAAAGAGGGGAAGGGTCTTAGATGTCACTGTTATCACTGCTATCTTCAGTTGCACTTCATTTATTCATGTTCAGTGTTTTGAAAGACTTTACTGATTTTTTTTTTTACTTTAATTAACAGATGCTGGAAGTACGTCTCCTATATGAAATAAATGATGTTGAAACTCCAGATGGTGAGCAGGTGCCACCTGTACCAACTCCAGGCACAGGTTCCAATCCTCAATCCATTATTCCCCAGTCTCATCCATCTACCAGTAGCAGTTCATCTGATGGACTTCGTGATAATGTCCCATGTTTAAAGTAAGTATATTCTGTTATATTTTCAGTGAGTATGAAATGGTGCAAGAATATGTGATTAGAGTATATGTACTTTGATATCATTACAGATCTAGCATTGCTGGTGAAAATGTTTTATTTTGTAGAGCTAAGTTTTCCAAGTATCTGAAAGTTGAGCTTTGCTTTACGAAAAAAAATATTGCAGTCTTAATTTTTTTAACTTCTTAAGCTGATCTAAAAGAAAACCAAAAAATTAAATCCTTGCATTTTAATTTGATTAATTAATTTGATTTAGGAAAATCTGGCATAGATGTTAATGTAGCTATAGAGATCATGCTTTAGAGCAAACAGTTTTTAATAGCTGTAGTTCAGTCACTTTGATATCTTCTCGTCCTTGAAATGAATTGGAAAATTGATGTTTTGTGGCTCTCCTTAACTTAAGGCCATATCTGAACATGTTTAATCTGTTAATTTTGCAGAGCCTTAAGTTTTAGAAGTGAATCAAAAGTGAAAATTCTTACAGATAGCTAGCTGAGTGCTAGCTCTTTAGGTTTATATTTCTTTTTGAAAATCCTCCAAGGGAACAACTTTGTGTTTTGGAAACAGAACTAAATGTCCCTTTGTCATGGATCTTCACTTTGCATGATACCTAGTAGTGCTCTCATTGTAGGTATTTGACAAGTTTTTTTTGTCTTTTTAAATTGGGAGCTTTTTCTGCAAGCTTCTTTGTGTGAGCTTTTACCCATTTAGAGAAATCAGAATTTAAAAAGTCTATCTTTTTTTACTCTCCTACAAGAATGCATTATGTGATATCTGTGCCATCATTTCTTCCAACAGAATGTAAGAAATACGTAATATATACCTAGAGATATAAGTTAAGTATATACTTTGTTTTCTGAAGTTTAAGATCCCAAGTTGGATTTTAATTCTTTGAGTGTATCCATCCAGAAAACAATTAATTCTGATAGGGTTGCTTTATTTGGGTAAGAGTTTTGAAAATGTATTGATTGCACTGAGTTGGAGAGGTGTATTTCTGAATGAAACTCATCTAGGTAGAAAAATCAGAATTCTAAACTATTCTAGGCTAATATCTAAAATATTGTCCAACCTAAATATCCATCAGTGAGAATAAATGGGTAAAAGGAGAGGAATTCAGGAAACAGGAACTTTTCACGTAAAAAAATGCAAGACGTAATCCTTTCCATGGAAGTCTATTTGTCAGCATGCCAACAAAATCTTTACAGGAGTTTCATTCCCCAGTCCCAGGTTCATTGTATACACTTTGTCTACTATTACAATAATTTACTTGTTGTAAATTTGGTTTTGCCATATCATCAACTTTTTATTTGCATTTATCTGAATTTTGCAAATATCTCAATTTTTCTTCTCTTTCTCTTTTCATTTTGCTCATTCCATGTACACCTCTAACCCCCTTCTAAATTAGAGCTCTTTTGGAAACTCTGAAAAACATAGGTAACATCTTCCTTTTTAGACACTGACTGAACACCTGCCTCAATTCAAGGAAATGCAGCATAATAGCACTGTTATGCCTTGTTCTGAGGTTGGAAAAAATGAAACATTTGTGCTCGTTATTCAATTAATTTTCAATTAGGTAGTGAATCAAAAGAACTGAATTCCCAGTTTCAATGTGGCTTTTTCTTCTGGTTGCTTTTATTTGCTTTTGATCACAGTTTTTACAATTTTCCAACATTTTAAAGTCCGGCATGGTGTAGAATTTAATGAACTCTATCCCATAAGGAAAAAATGGACACAATGGAGACACCATGTTCTGTTTACTTTGCAGAGTTAAAAATTCTCCTCTCAAGCAGTCTCCAGGCTACCAAATTGAGCTCGTTATCCAGCTGGTGTGGGTGAGTGGAGAACCTCCTCAACAGATAACCAGCTTAGCTGTCAACTCAGCGTATGGCCTGTAAGTATATTCTACACAGCTCTTTCCGTCAAAGCAGTTTAAAACTATCCATTAAAATTGAGTCTCTGGGTGTGTTCACCCAAGCTGCACAGCAACATAGAGGTAATCAGTTTCTTGTGCTTCCGAGACAATTCCTTTTGGGTCATGGCAGATACCAATGATGCTGATAGCAGAAGCAAATCAGCATCATTTGTCCTCACCCGGCACTGTACAGCCAAGAGTAAGTCATTTAAGGCTCTGTGTCAGATAGGTTGGCAAGAATATTGACAGTGGTCTGTCCTACTCAGCACCATGTTTTTACAAGAGAACTATTAATCAATAATGTGCTCTCAAATAGTAATTTATAAATAAGTGCAATCTAGGTTAATTCCTAAAAATTAGGAAGTATTAAATGCTGAGCTGCAAAAGATATTTGTATGAAACATTACCAATGCTTAATTAGCATTGTCTTTGATTTCACTTCTCTTTTTCCAGAGTAGTTTTTGGAAACTGTAATGGTATTGCCATGGTTGATTATCTCCAGAAGACAGTGCTCTTGAATCTAGGCACTATTGAACTGTATGGCTCCAATGATCCCTATCGTAGGGAGCCACGATCTCCCCGAAAAACTCGGCAACCATCCGGAGGTGAGTAACCCGAACCATATTTCAAGCTCAGAAGAAAGGCACAATTGATCATCTTGTCTTAGTGTATGTTCACTGAATGCCAACATTCCTCACTGTGGTTTTCTTTCTTCTTGATCTGTTGCTAATGTCAGTACTGCAGCTTTGTTAATTAATCCTTTCTTAAAAATTGTTGCTTAGTGGAATCTTCTGATGCTTCATACCGTTACTTATTTTTCAGGGTAATGTATATTTTAAGAAAAATATAAATTTACAATGGATTACAAGTTACAAGAATGTACACAGCATGAAGAAGTATCCTGATGTTTCTGATAAAGCTAGTACCCGTATTACATGCTTGTATAAATCCATTAATGTTTGCAAATAGCCTGAGTGTTTGCTGGGATCTTTTGGCTTCCTGTTTTAAAATTTGGCTAGAAATGTTCCTGATGAGCTAAATCATGTTATATTGTTAATACTGTTATGTTATGCTTCAGAGGAAACCTTTGATTTAAATGAACAAAATAAACTTCTACATACAAGCTGGTAAAATAAATCCCTTTGGAGAAAAAAAAAAGAAAAATATGCTGAAGATTGTTCTTTTTCAGCTAAAAAGCTAAAAAAAAGGAAAGTGACTTTACAATCAAAATGCAAAGCTTTTCGTAGCCAAAAGGAAAATGTATTATTTTAAAATTTTCTTTTCTCTGATGTGTCATGGGTACTCCTAAGTTATTTCAGAAAACAGCACAAGACATAATAAACTGTTCCAAAAAACCCTTCCTCATGATTGTTAATTTTTTTAAGAAATCCAGAATAAAGTCCTTCTAAGTTTTTCAGGTAGTATTTTATTCAAATTGAAATGGATGTTCTAGAAGGTATTTTAGTAAATGGATGGTTTGAAAGAGATCCAGTTAACACCAGTCAGCTTATTTCAACTGAGGAAACGGATCTAAAAATCATTCATATAGAGCAAAGCATACACAGTTGATATTCTGTCAGATAAAATATTTTCTTGTATGAAATAAACCTTGAGAGAAAGAAATAGCTTTACAATTTGACTGTGTTAATTTGTGCTGGTAGTACAGGGCTTAAAGGCTTAAATTCTGCCTCATGCATATAGATTATAAATTGACTTTTGGAGCTTTAGACATCACTTGCCTTTGTTTCCTTAACTGTTCTTATTTCAATCCAATAAATTGGATCCACATAACTGTGTTTCAACTGTGTCTCTAAGATGTTTATGATGAAAGTGCTTTTTGCTCATTATTGTAGCTGTTATATGAAGTCATGTTTTTTTCATCTTAACTTCTGAGACTAACAATCTGCATGGCAATAGCATTTTAATAACCTGGTTGTACAAGTTACTTGGCTGGCTTTTCTGTCTCAAATGTACTGTTAGTGTCTCCGTCTTTCCTTTTCTCATTGCTTCATGAAGGTATGCTGACTGTGGCTTCTTGCATGTGCGGCCTTTCTAACTTATATTCAGAGTCTGTGAAAAAGCTTCGCACCTCTTATATAAGTAAGTCATCTCATGGCATTCAAATACTTTTTGAACATCTGAACTTGATTTTTTTTTGTGTGTTGCTCACTCACCATAATTATTTTTCACAGCCTTTTTTAAGTAATTGTTTTACTTAGAGAAACTGGTTTCAATCCATCCTGCATCCATTGTATTTCTTGTTTGTGGTATCTTTAGAAGAAATTTAAACGAAAAAAGCAACCATAATAGTCTCTGTATTTTGTGTTTTCAAATAAATAAGTCTCAAAATCAAAAAGAGAGTGTATCTCAGAATTTGCTAATGTTTATAGAGCTAAGATCTCACTCACAAATTTAGTGTTATTTTACTAGAAACTTTCCTTGCTTGGTTCCCTTTCTGGCAGAAAAAGCTTCAGAACTCCAGAGTTAGAGTATTAGTAGCAATGATAAGAATAAACATTGTGATTACAGAGAGATTCTTCTTTTAAAAGTGAAAAGTTACTTCGACAAAAATGTTGTTTATAGGGATTAAGAGTGGAAGTGTATGGGTACTGCACAGCCCTCTTCGGTTTCCAAGCAGTTTTGAAGTTCAGGTTTCCGTGTAAGGAAGGTAATTCATCAGAACCATGAATTACCTGAGAGAGTCTGACTTATACCATCCTTCACAACATCCAAGAATCTTGAGAATGTAAATCTTATTTTTTAAAAGCATAACATTGTTCCTTTTCTTAGGATGCCACTTTCTCCAGCCCTCAGGCAGAGGTAGGTAATCTCAGCCCTTTTTTTAATGAAGTAGAGTAGATTAAGCTACAGTAAAAATGGAGTTAAAAAAAAACAAACTGCAAAACAAACTTGAAATTGTGGTCCAAGTCTTAATTCTGCCATTTCCTTTCGCCCAAAAAGAAAGAAGAAATACATCTCAGAGGATAGTCTCAGTTGCCAAATACTGCTTTCTCTATAGTATTTCCTCCTCTACTGCCACGGTATGAAGGGAGCTAGGTATAAAAGAAATGCCTCTACCTTAAGATGATACAGAACTGAAAACCAGGATCTGGCACTGATTGATTATTGTTTTGGAAAAAAGAAAAACATGGGTAGAAATCCTAAAGCTAGTAAATACTGTAAAGCTGAATTTACTTGGACTGTTTTATTTAGGAATAAGTTTAAACAAGTTTTGTACCCAAGAGTTAATTTCTGTAATGTATTCTGTAATTCTCTTTCTGCTTACCATCCTGACAGTATCTTGGTTAATTTTAAAACCTGAAAATAATTTCTTTAGTTATCATTTAACATTTCTCATTATTTGTAGTTCTTTCAGTGTATGTGTTGCCCAGACATCAGAATTTGCTTCAATAGTTTTCCACAAATAATGAGTTTGTTACATTTAAGCACTGCCCTTTGATTTATTTATAGGATTGGATCTATGTGATATAGTCAGAACACTTTTGGGTTTTGCATTCTCTCTTTCTTGGACATTTACTACCTGCATTTAGTGTGTTCAAAAATGCAAGGTGCTTATGCTTCCTTGGTTTTGGTTTGAAAGATGTGCCTTCATTGGATCTCTGTCTTGAAAACGTTTCTATTTTAATACTTTGATTTATTTTTTTTTCTATGAATAAGGTATTTTCAATGGCTGTACAACTAATAATCTCAGGGAGTACTAGTATTTAATATCTATATCTTCCTAGTGCTTTTCTATCTAATGTGGTTGGTTTAGAAAACTCATATTCATTGAGAAAACAACAGTGTAATTAAAAAAAAAAAAAATCATGCTAGCTTACACATGCATTCAGGCAGCATGCAACAGAGCAGCATATTATTGCTATTGTACGTTCAACCACTTCCAAAAAAGGCAGGAAGGATTGGTCCTTCCTTGTTAAAAACCCTGATATTCTGTATGTTTCAGCATAAAATGCCAGTTCAATAGATCATCACCTGCCAACATACTTAGTATTTAGTAAATGGTATGTCCTTAATCAAACAGTTGAAACTTTACAAAGACATCTTTTAAAAAAATTCATAGAGTAAGAGTTACATATCTTCTAAAATATGAATGGAAATGCGCGATTTTTTTCCCTTCTCTTGTTTTGCAAGAATATGATGTATTTCTCTGTCATCTTATTTTTTCTACTCAGAAAAGAAATTCAGATTCCCGTCTTAAAGCAGCATCTATTTAGAGACAAGGCTCTCTACACTAGCTAGACTGTAAACTGTCATTTCAGGCTAGCTCTACAGATACAAGCTCCCAGTTGGGATCGTGTTTTGGAATTTATCAGTGATTCATACCAGGTATACTACTCACATGTTTTGGGTGGCAATTTATAGTTTGTGAAGCATGCAGTATATGTGTTTTGTTAAGGCCTGCCAGACAGTGTCATCAGGTGCTTGTCAAGGTTAAAAACAAAATCAATATTTACCTTCAGAATCTAATAGTCAGGGGGGAGGGTATAGAAAATCAGCTTTGACCATATGCCCAAAGTAATGAAATGTGTAAGTAAAAGCTTTACAGTGTGATGAAAGCTATACATGATGGAGGCTTACACTGTTAGGTGACCTGTTAGGACCTTTGCTTGATATACTTTTTGCTAAATAAGACAGGAATCATTAAATCAGTACTCATAAAATATTAGACATGTCATAATATCATGATGAAACACCAAAACTTATATAGCTGTTATTTTTTCCTGCTTAGTTCCCTAAGTTCACAGAGAACATTAATCATAACTCTTTTTTTGCAAATTACTGTTGGTGAGAGTTACAAGATTTTATGTGACTTTTTGATTAGTGCAATGTAGTACAACTCTTTAAAAATTAGTATTTCTTAGTTCTACCAGAGGCAATTTAGGTTTCTGGCAAAACTGAAGCAGTTCTTACATGCATGTGACTTTTTAGAAATTTTAAATTTACATCAAAAAGCTTTCTGACAGTAATCTATAAGTGATTCAAAAAGTGAGGTTGAGACAAGCTAGAAGAAAATACATGCCCAGAGCTCTTCTGGAGTTTCTTGATCATGTTCTTTTCCCCATTCCCCTTCATGAACTATTTGAATTTTAACTTAAATGTCATGAGACCAACATCAGCTGACTGACATCAGCCAAGGCCGAAATCAGAAAGTTTGACTGTTGGTCTTGGAAGGTTTTGTTTTTACCCTGTTTTTCAGGCTAACTGAAGTTTCAGGCTAACTGTAAAATTCTAACTTTTACTTCATATCAAGTGAGTTTTAGTTGTAATTTTTAGTTTTGCTGTTTTCCAGTCGAGTTGTAGGTTCTTCTGAGATATGTCTGCTTAAAATTTGTGCAAAGAACTGACAAAAGTCTCATGAAACTTTATACATCAGTTAATTTCAGCTGTAATTCTTGGGAGTTTTTAATGCAGCATGGTAATGATGTCTTTAATGACATGATATGATTCTTGGAAATTTGGAGGAAATTTCAAATTTCTTTGCTTCTGGAGTATGCAGAGATAACCTAAAAGCTTATTAGAAGGTGCTATATTGGTGTTAGAGAACATTTTAGTTTTTTTAGTTCTGAAACAGGAACTCTTGGATCAATTTGCTTTTGTAATTCAAAGCAATTTTCATGGATGGTATAGACCTGAAACCAGAGAATTTTTCCAGGAGAGCTGTCTTGCTGCCAGTGCTTCTGTCAGGATACCTGGGGTTTTAAGATGAATAGCAAGAGGTTATCTTGCAAGTTTCTTCAGCTTGGTCATGGGCAGATCCTCCTAGTTCACAGCCTTAGATCATTCTTGTTATACTCTGCTTGGTTTAATTACTAATACAATCATGGCTAAAATTACTTACCATCTATTCCTGTTCCTTTTCTTTCCTAAGTAATAGCGGTAATGGCTTTGGACAGATATTCAAGGTTTACATGCCATAATAATTACCATAATGCACACTAATTATTAATTAAGATGTATATTAATCAAATGATAAACTTGAGAGTTCCTACAAAGAATTCAGGTATACATTCTTGGCTAAAGACTATTGCTGTCAATTAATGAATTTTCATAGGAGAACTAGTATACAAAATTAAACTCTCCCTTTGAAGGTAAAGAATTAATCTTTATGGAAAAGAGGAAATTCTGTTCCTGAACTGCATGTATGAATTTCTTTGGTTTGGCTCCTGAAGAGGCAGCTACTTCTAAGAGCACAGTATGGATTTATCCTCCCAGCACATCTATCATCTAAAACTTGTATTGCTTGTTGTGAAAGAAATTTCGAGATTTTTCAAAAATCTTTTTACACAATCCTGTCTAGTTCAAAATGTTTAGTTTCCCATGCCTGTTTAAAACTCTGGTGTAAAACCCTGATTATCCCATAGTGTTCATCGATGTACTGACAGATGTCTAAATAAATTCCACTTTTCTTTCTCCTGTGTAGTGGAAAGATACAGCTTCCACCTGGAATTTCATTCAACATTTTAGAATTTAAATTGGTTCCGGGACTGTTAAATGTAGGGTTAACAAAACCTTAACGTTATTTGACAGTTCTAGTAATTGTGTTTTGGGGTTTAAGCTATACATGCGCTTAGTAATCTTAAAAAATACTTTTTTGGATAAATGGAACTGTTAATGTAACATATTTTCAAGGTGTTCCTTATTGATATGGTATTTCAAGAAAGTTTTCCCCTTTGAACTATTCTAGTTTAGTGTTTGGAAATCTCAAAGCTTTGATGGAGCAGGGCTGTTGTACTTTTGTTTTTTAACAGATATGTACAGATGTACTTGTGAATACTGTGTAGTGTACAGTTGTATAGACTGGCATTCCATGTGATACCTTTCTTGTCCTAGCTACTACCACTCAAACTTTTTGAGTATTGGAAATATTCGTGTGCATGCAAAAAACCCTTTAATTTTAACAAGTATCTCTTAGCTATTACTGTTCAGTATTACATGCTTGTTTTCCTTAGTATCACATCATGACATTTCTGTAGGAAAGCTTCATGATATAAACCTGAAGATGCATTAAAATACCAACCTTATATACAAGTTATATAAAATATCAACAAAAATGCACTTCTTTTGATTGTGGGCAGTCATGACAGAATTTTTTTGTCAAAAAGGAAAATAGAAAAATTTCTTGTATACTTTTAAGTTGTGCAATGGAATAGTATTTAGACCATTTTGAGGCAGCTTCTGTCTTTTGAATCTGATTGTGTATGATTAGGTTTTATTTCCTTCACTGGAATGAAAGGAATTAGCTTTCAGATGTTAACATATGTGACACCAATACGGAGATTTTCTGGAAAATGAAAGTAAAAGTAGTTTGAAAAAAGGCACTGTAGTTTCACACATCGTGTGTTTGTAATCTTCAAAACCTTCTTTTATATTATTTTCTTTTGCTATTACATTTTTAATATAACTCTGATTTTTTCAAAACAAATTATGTTTATACTTAATGTATATATGTAGCATGTAAATAATTAACTGTTCTGATAAGTCTGTCTAGCTGAAATTTGTTGAGAGAGTGTATTTTGCAAAGAAAACTTTAGTAGGAAGAAGTGACTCTACAGTTATTGTGGGTAATGTTAAAAAAAGTAATACATAACATATTCTATTGCAACTGGTTTGTTTGTCTCTAATAAGAAATGAAGTTCCTGACAGCAGTGCAAGTAAAAATAAAATGGGAACTGTATTTATAATACACTGGTTTTGTGTTTCAGCAGGTCTTTGTGATATAAATGAAGGTACAGTGGTGCCAGAAGACCGCTGCAAGTCACCCACATCAGGTAATCATAACTTTCCCTGATCTTCAGCTTCTTATTTTCCCAGAAGATGGCATGCCTTAACACTTACTAGTTAAATAATTATATAAAACCTGCTGTCCTCTCAGAAGCTGTTGGAGCTGTTACAAATTTTGCCATGTTGCACAACTGCATTTTTAAAACAAGGCTGACTTAAGAGATGCAATAGGAACATGTCATAAAGATGATTAAAGAGAGATATAAGCTGAAATATTTATGCCTCAGGGAACATACTGCACAGTGGAATTTTGCAGCATTGACAAGAGATGCACAAATTCCTGTAATCATTCATGTGATTGTTTTGTATTCCTCAAAAGTGGTAGAGATGATTTCTGAACAAGTTTACTTCTGCTTCCTCATAAGTAGCAAATTACTATTTTTCTGTGGAATTAGAGGTCTACAGAAATCAGCATCCCAAAAAAGTAGAAGTTCCCTATTGAATACTCCTCTTACTGCACCCTTCTTAAAATTTTTGCTTTATGTGAATATTTTAAATGAAACTTTCAAGATTTATTATTTTAATATGGGCTACTTGAGGCTGTAACCTTGTACATGCTTAATAATGCATGTCAATAATGTTGTTATAGTGATATATATATAATGTTATAATAATGTTAATAATGCATGTATTAGAGTGAATAGTTTTAGTAGTAGCAAAAAATTGTCACTTTATTTATTGCTCTGAGAACTTTTAAAGATGTCATCTTGTTTCATTCAAAACTACTCAAGGTTAAAGGACTCAACTGCACATAAAGTAGTATGTAGTGTAAAATTCTAATCAAGATGGGAGTCTAAAGATAGATTCTTTTTCCACTGTAGCTTCTATCTTTCAAATCCAAATTAAAAGCATAACAAACCAAAACATTGTGTTTGTAGCTCTAGTAGAAATTTTAACATAAATTTTAATTTCCAGTTTGACAGTTGTCTTTTGATGTTCATTTTAAATTGTGCAAAACACTTCTCTAGATCAATCAATGTAATTTTCATTTTTGCAAGCTCTTTCTTAGAGAAAATTTGATTTATTTATAATTAAAGCAAAACCTGGCTGTGAATTTTAATTAAAAGTCTTACCTGAAGATGTGATTTCATGACAAATCTGTGTTGCTAAGTGTTGGCATGCTGAAGTCATCAACTTCACTATAGTTTGTAACAAAAGTACTGCTGAGAATTAAATGCATGTTTCCTATTTCATTTTTACATATTGAGACCAATGCCTGTAAACAATTTGCCATGCATTGCTGCAGTTGCAGTAATCCTTTCTCTGTCAAGGTTGAGCATAGTTACCAATTCACTGTGGTATTTGTATTTGACCCACTTAAAAAGTCTGGGCTAAATCTAGGTTCTGGTACACTGCTATAAAATATCTGCAATGAACAGCTAATGAATCATAACCTTTAATGTGTATCCTTTTCTCCCCCTGCTCCAGAATCACCAAAATGTCAGCCCAAACAACTCCTAACTTAAAACACTGTGTAGTTTAAATAAGATGGTTTCTTTCATAATTTGATGTTGAAGTAGAGTAAAACTCAGTTCACCACTTCTGCAAAAGTGCAATGAAGGCAAGTCCAAAGATGAAAGTTAAGGTTTATGGAAAACTCCTAAATTTAACAATTGGCTTCCCCTACCTTCCTCTCCTTCTTGTTTGAGTGCGAGCTGAAGAAGGTTAAAGAGTAATGTTTAAAGTACAAAAAATAGTGAATGGACAAAAAGATAGAGGGAGAACGTAACTGTTGCATTCTCCTGTAAAATGGAAACTTCTAGTAGTGAGGTTGGACTGTACCCTGCTTCCCTCAATTCTGCCCTCTGCTCTCAGTGAATGAGATGAAGCTTATGGTAGACTTCACAACTTTTCCTTTGGAAAAAATCTTGGATGCACCACCCTGGTATAGAAATAATTTGTTGATGTTTGTTTAGAGGGAAGAACTGCAATTCCTTAGGTTTGGTTTGAGTTTTGTATCTTTTCTGGGCAAAAGCATAAGACTGATAACAAGCTTGAAAGTGATGTTTAGCTTTCAGTGGTAAGAGAGGACCTTTTTGAGAAATTTCCTGCAGAGTGTTTTCAAGCTTGAGAAGGATGGAGGCTAAATTTAAGGAAACTTTTTGCAGTCTAGAGGCTTTCTAGTTTAGAGGAATATATGCAAACACAAAATGTTTGCAAGTTACTAGCTCTAAGATTAGAGGATGGGATGGGCAGTTTAATGCCTTATTGGCTTTCATTGTTACCATGTGATCTGTAGAAGAGACCAGTCACTGTTTGGACTGCAAGTTTGCACTGTTTGAAGTCTGCAATTGCTCAAATCTACCTTTCTATGTCCAAGTAAAGAGAAGTGGAAGGTAACTTCCACTAGACTTCCTCCAGTGGGTGATAATATAGATGAGTGAATTCTGAAAGGGACTACCTGCATATGGGGGTTGAGAGAGTATCCTACAGTTTTGGTAACACAGAACTATAGAACACTGTGAAAGTGCAGGAGGATTTATTTTACCTCCTGCTTTTTCTATAGATGTCAAGCAGTAATAGGACTAGACTCTGGGAGTGTTTATTTGACCTAAAACATTGTACAGCATTTAAACTGTCAAGTTTTTGTCTTCAGAAGTGCCAAAATGTTTGTATTCTATTCTGGTTTTACAATTCCACAATATAAAATCCAATTAAATTTTAACATTTTTAGATGAATTGTTTTAATTTTCTGGCAATGTTTTAATTTCATGACAACAGTAAGCCTGAAGTTGCGGTCTGTTACCACAATCAGTTTTTCGGGGTTGGGATACAGAAAAATCCAGGTGGCGGTATTGGCTCAGAGTTGTCCACAGAGTAGTTGAAGAACTGTGGTCCAACAGTGATTTACTGCATTGGAAAAAAAACCCAAAGAGTTTATAGAACTCGTGTTTATTGTTACAGCTGTGTTTTGTGAATCATAATTTAGGCTAATCTCTGTGTCTGGAGCAATGATTAGTAGAGCCATTTAGTTATTCAGCATAAACATTTGTTCAATGGGAGAATTATTTCTAGCAATAAACTCGCTGCAATGTGCAGCATTGTACCTTGCATTATAATTTCTGTGGCTAATTCCAATATGGCAGAACTCTGTCACGCCAAAGTAATTTGTACTTTGTAATATCTAGTACAGCTACAGAGAATACCAATATCAGTATTTTCTTTTCAGATTTTTTCTTTTCATATTTCAGATATTTTCTTTGTTATCTTCATTAAACTCTGAGCTCATATATAATTTTGTATAATATATGTATACATATATTGTATTATATATGTATATTTTATATGTACTAATATACATTGTTTTTTGTGTCAGAGATATATCCCCTTCATTCATGTCAAATGTATATCCATTTCATTCTGTCTCCACTTGTAGGTTCTGGTTCACCAAACAATTCTGATGATGAACAAAAAATGAATAATTTTATAGAAAAGGGTACAGTATTTTTCTTTTCTTTAGTCTTATTTTTTCTTTAGTTCACCTTTTGATACACTTAGATTGATTTTTTTTTTTTTTATTAAAATATTATTTACAGTGAAGACCAAAAGCAGAAAGTTTTCCAAGATGGTAACCAATGACATAGGTAGGAACTAGAAAAATTCTACTCTTTCTAATCTAGTGCCTTACTCTATGCAGCACTAACCCAGCAGCAAAAAATAAAAGGCAGAAACCAGTCAAATTTCAATGCATTGTGTTATTAATTTTTTTCATTCTTTTTGCTAATTGGTAATTCTATGGGCTGCTTCTGTACTAAATACACTGGCCACAATAATTTTAAAAAATCAAGGAAATTGGTGTTTTAAATTCTCTGATTTTACAATTGCACTTCTCTGTTTTTCTGGATGGGTGAAATTCTAATACATAGTAAGAGTTCAGTCTATGCAAGTCACAACATGATTCCAATACTTTTGCAAAGGTGTGCTTGTTTTGGGAACATATGGCTGATACCATTTCTTTTTAATATTTTGTACTCATAGCCATATGGTCAGTTTTTTATATGGCTGTGGTCAAGAAATAGGTACTATTATGGTTTCATTTATTCATTTGGAAGAGGACTGGCTTTGTATGTATGTTTTGTTCCAGAACTCTCTTTACTTTTCTGCATCCAACAGTGACACAATACCCTACCAGCTCTAGACTTGTGTCTTAATTTGGCAACAAAATTGCCTTGGGAGATGTTGTATGCAGGTAGATTGAACCCTTTCACTGCTGGAATGGAAATAACTTTGCTTCTGACAACTGGCTCATTAAATAAATGAAAGCACGAGGCTGTATGATTTAGCTTTGGGAAAGGCACTCTTCTTCCTTAACTGGGATATGGTTTCTTTCATTGCAGAACCACTTTGCTAATGTTCATTTGTTTTCATTTAGCAAATTAATATATCATTGTAGAATAATTTCATTTTATCTCTTCAGTCAGTTTAGGTTGAAATTATATAGTAAAATTAATTGCTAAGCTACTATTTCACAGGTTGTGTGGAAGCATAGTTTGAGATTAGGGAGGAAGAGATTTCTTTTCCTGAAGTCTCCCTTTGTTTTTTCTTTTTGGCAATGTAAGTTTTATCCTAAAATATTAATCCCTTTCATCATTATTTAGTATTTGAGACGAATAATATTTCAGAATTCAGGGAGACAAACAGGAGTATGACAAAGCTATCCTTGAAATTTGAGGTATGGAATGAGAAAGTACTGTACAAAGGACATATTTTTGCTCTGTGTTGAGATCTTCTTGCAGTGACATCAGAAAAGGTAGGGAAAACGAATTTTGTGCAGCAAAAGTCTGAATGTAAGTCAAGAAAGCAAATGGCTGTCAATAATACATTATGTGAATTCATCTGTAATTAAAAAGAAATTGCTGTCTTTTACACAAGCATTAATATGTTCCCCTAAGGGAAATTCAAGGTAACTAGAACCTAATGTTCAGGTTGAGAAAAACATGAAAAAAACAACACCTAATCTTGTGCATGTTATATCAATGTCCATTGAGGTAATGGTTCCCTTTTGTCTCTTTTGAACATAAGACACACTGTCTTGTGCAATACACATGGAAAATTTGACTAACTGTGACCTGTTTGGGTTTTTTTCCACTTCTTTTCAAAGAGTTACATTAGAGTATTAATAAAATATGCTAATGAGATTCTATAGAGCCATTCACATCTGTTTCAGCTGGAAGCCTTTCAACTGAAAGTATTAGCAATGTTTTTCACAGCTAAAAAAAGCAAAACATTTATTTATAAGCAATGCATTCTTCAGGGTGTAAGTTATACTGTGATTTCCGTAATTTGCACAGTTTATTGGAAGCTTAAAGATAATTATTTATTTTGCATTTTCCTAGTTTTGAGTGGTTTGCTGTGCACTGAATGTGGTTGTTTCACTACCATGTTTTCTATAGCTTATCTGGCATGCTTATTCTAGCTCTTTCTGAACTTACATTTTAAGCTCTTTCATGTAAATAAAACACCTTTTCTGTGGTAATAGTTGCATGTTTTTGCTTTTCATTGTTTCAAACTGAATTGACAACCAAATGTGCATGGACAATGAGTTTTGTAAAATATGTCATTGTCATTAACATCACCATGTTGTATGAAACAAATTGTTTGCCATAACTGTGTCCTCAGGGATGAATTTGATGTCTTCGATGTGTATGGCATGGTCATAGCTCTCTGCGCTGGCACACAGAGCAATCCATTCAAGTGCTTTCCGTTCTTTGTCAATGTGTGAAATACAACCTGCTAAATGAGGTGCAAAACAGAGTTAAAATCATTTACATTGGAAACTTCTGTTGCTGTTAATATCACTCCTGTGTTTGTCACATGGGAACAGGGAGCAAGGGAATACTGCTAGCAGTGTGAATTAATTTTATTGCAGTGGTAGGGCTGCAAGGGGGTAACATCACACACGCAGTTATAAACGTGAAGCCATTGTCAACTTACTACTTTATTGCAACTGATGTAGAGCATTGTCATTCCTACAGATTTCTGTAATTAGTGATAGTAACAAACACGGTTTCTATGATTGGATCAAAAAAGCATGTAAAACTGAAACAATAGCCCAAGTAAAGCAATATGCAAATGCTTCATGCATCACCATTTTGATCAGTTGGTCTGGTTTGTTGTTTTCTTCTAAATACTCAACTGAGAATGCTCTGTGCTAAGGAATGGGTACTAAATCAAGTTAAAGACCTGTTGTGAATGTCTTGGTTTTGGGTCATGTTTCCCTCTTATTTGCATCAAAGATGAACCTTGATAAAGTTACGCTTTATCTTGGAGATACTGGATACTTGATTTAAATTAAAATTTCTAGAAATTTTGCAAAGTGCTGTGGCCATTATTGAATCCAGCCCATTCTCTTACAAATGTCACATATTTGAAGGTGTAAACAATATTCTGTGAAGTAATATGCAGAGGTTTACTAAATGTAGATGAATTTACAGAAAGAAGAATTGGTAAGAAAGTTTATTTTCTGAGGCTGTGTCATTTTTATAGGAAGACATTGGGATCCAGCTTCAGAGGAAGCAAAATCTACAGCTGTTTTACTCATAATTTGGTTAGTTAAGTATTTGGCATGAAGAGATGCAGACGATTAAATATTATAGCTACAAATTGTCTTGGAAGTTAAGATGTAATAACCATATCTGGAAAAACCTTTAGTAAAGGTGCCTGCAAAATATGGCAGATTTTACAAACTTTGTAACTGTTCTAATAGCCTACATGTCAAACACTTCTCAGGAAAATTGGTCTTATTTATTTCCTGCACTTTATAAATTTAAAAATAATGGCAAACAGTATTATTAGACAGACTTAAGCAGTGAAGATTTCATTCCAGAGTTTTATAATCCCCACTGTTAGTACTGACAGAGGTTTCTCACATTTCTTACATTAAAAGTGCATACCTAAACTTTTCAAACATTGCTATAATAATTGACCATTAATGCTGTTTTCATCAAACCAAATTTTAAGATGTTCATAAAAAGTTCTTATTTTCCCTAATACCAAAGACAATGTGTTCTTTCAATGTGTTTTTAATACTTTGATTGATTTTTGGATGTATCCAACTATATGTTTTCTTACAGTTTCCTGTAAAATGGTTTTATTATTCTCATATGATTTTTAGAGATTTCAACATTTGCTAATTGGTAATGTAAATATTTCACTTTATGAAGTTGTCAAATATAGAGTAATTTAGGAGGTTTGGTATCTCTAACAAATTCTAAGCTGCTTAGTTATTTCTCATGTGATGTTACATGAAATAGGCTTCATAAGCTGTTCTCTTGCTTGTCAAAGCTCCAAGACACATGATCCTTTATAATCTTTAGAATTTTATTTTAAAATAAAAGGAATGGAGGAAAAAATCACTGTATTGCTTTCAAACTGATGCACTATACATTTTAAAGTATCAGCTCAGGATAACCAACTGTAAATTAATTGTAACTGTTACTTCTAAGCCACAGCTTGCTATTGAGAAGCCTTCTCATGCTTCAGGTTTTCTTCATTGAATTGAAAGGCATTCCTTCTACACTGACACATAACATGTTATGGAAAGGCAACCTTTCATATTTTAGCACCTACCTTCCCAAGCCTGACCTGTGAGAAATCTCCAAGAACCCTTGGGTTTGGACAGTTCTCTGATACAATCCCTAATTATACATATTGACAGAACATGCATGTACACCTGTGTATTACTCTTGATTTTCTAATTTAGAGAAATATTAAATGTAGGTCTAAACCCAGGCAAAACAGTCACTGTTGCCTTGAGCAGCAGTGTGCCAGGAGGAGAACAACAGCTCCCTGATCTCTGTGTCATTGTCTCGTACCAGTCTGGGCCGTAAATGCTGCAGCAACCACCACCCCCAAGAGAGATATTGAACTGTGGTATGACAGCTACTATTTGAAGTCAGCAGGAGCAGTCAGCATCACCTCTGCCCTGTTGTACAGCTGGAGTGAAAAGCCTGACACTGAATGCTCTTTCTGTAGATCTCCGTCCTGTATCTTACATTTTTCTGATTTATATAATTTGCTTTGTACAAGGCATCTAGCACGTTGCAGGTTTTCATCTGAGGCATAAAAAAATTTATCAAAATTTATTGAATTTATCAAAAATTGTAAAACTTTAGCCAATGTGAATACAAGCAGGGATTATTTTTTTATAATGTTAGTTAAAAAGGGCTTAGCTAGTGAAATAGTCCTATTTTCTTACTGCATGTTTAGGCAGGTTTTTTTTTTAAACACAAGATGGCACCATTGCTGTTGGAATAGGATCTTATTTCTCATTTACATTTGAATTATTGAGGTTTCTGACACATTAACATATGTTTTGAAATGTTGGGGGTTTTTTGCATAGCACAGTAATTCAGAATTTCCAGTAATGATATCCTTTTTTAACAATTCATGTATCCTCTTGTCCTATTAATGAGGCATAGTTCAGTATATGTTAAAAATTGTCTGACAAATTTGTTTTATCATACCAGTCTAGTTCACACAGCTGGCCTTTCACTAAGGAACAAAAAGCTAAAACTGGATCAGCTCTCAGAATCCAACACATTTGCCTACAGTTGCTATTATGTGCTATAGTGTTATATAGTATCTGTAACCTTGGATTGATTTGTATTTATTTTTTAATTTTTAAATTTTTTTAAGCTTTTTTTGGTCAGTTTTCTCCCAGTTGTTAAGACTGTGCTAAATGTTTCTATTTGAAAAGCCAAGGGTGGCTGTACTGGTCTTCAGTTAGTTGAAGAGGTTAAGGTATTTACACGTGGTAAAAGCTGTTAAAAGCCAAAAATAACTGGTTATTTTTTGTGTACATACTTCAAGTTTTGTTCAGTATCTCAGCTCTTAATATTTAAGTGTCTTACAGAGAAAACAAGTGTTATGAGTAATGCCCACCTTGTAATTCACTATTCCAGGTGAGATTTCATGATCTTGTCCAGCAGCTGATTTAAGTTCAAGCTGATAGCAAAACGATGGGCTCCTCATCACTAGTGCTGTTGTGTTCCCAGGTTTTCTGTTTGTATCTCTGAGCTCTGATCTGAAATAGGAGTTGATCTTGTTTGGAAGCAACATTTGGCAGGAACTTCATTCAGATGAGTTTTGGCCTCACTGTTAAGTTGGGTATTTGCCAGTGCTAATGCAAGGATGAGGGTAGAAAACACATAGTTGTGCTACCCTTTTCAGTTTCAGCCTGTCCTAAAATAGGTGATTAGCATTTCTGCCTGAGAGTAAGTAATTTCAATTTAATTCAAACATACCTTTAACATTGACACATAAAGGAAATTGGGAGATTATTTCTAGAGTCTTGTTCTCAAATTTTTATGATGTATGACAGGAATAAAACTGTTCAACTATTCAGATAAACTAGCATTTGCAATATTGATGAGCATAATTGATGATACAGTGAAGTATTTCACTTTTGGAAGAAATGGAAGTAACTTTAAGTCACATGCTGTTCTTCAGGATATTGAAGATTTGGAAATCTTGAAATTGGAATGATTTCTGTTAAAGTGATAATTGGAATGAGGTAACTCTATTTTTAACAGAGAAAAGCAGCAAGATTCAGGCTGCTTTGGGTGGTATCCATTACAAGGTACTCCTAGAATTATGAGGCTATGCTCAGTATCTACTTTAGGAAAAGACGTATTACCCTTGCAAGATCATAAAGAATTTAATGATATATCAAAACTGAAGCATGTGGCTGGGAGAGAAATATAGAGTGTAGTCCTAGTCTAGCAGATAAACTATATCAAAATAATTCCTTCTCCAGTTATTTGAAAGAAAGATGGAAGGGGTATGTATGCCTACTATTTTATTTTTGATGCTTTTTTTAGCAGAATTTGTTTGTATTCTACTGCAGTTTAAATGGACTGCAAGATTTCTGTTCCTGTAAAACCAATTTCTAAGTCAGTGATGAGCTGAAGTACCGTTTTTCACTTGAGCAGTATTATCAAAATCTTTCTGGTTTTTTGAATGTGTTGCAAGTGTTTGTACACTGCTGATTTTATGATTATTCTCTGTAATGTCTTCATTCTTCTAAGGTTGTGGATTTTATCTCAGGTGATTAGTTTTATACAAATTTGTATTAATTTTAGTGTAATTTCAAGTTCCTTTTCTTTTTTTTCTATTTTAAATGTCTCAGGTTTGATCAGAAAATAGGGCATGAGAAATGGGGATGGTATCTTAACTATTTGTAAGAATCAGTGCACATCCTTGTAATTCTGACCTCTCACCTGAGAAATTAAAACTTGAGGCTGAGCCAAAGCCAAGTTCATCCAATCCATTAAGCCCTTCCTGAAGCCTAAAGGGAAATCAAGCTCAACAAAAGTCATAAGATGCTGTATTTAGGGATATTGCTGTCTTCCATGATTTAGTTTGCACCCCTCACTTGAGGAAGTGAGGCTCTGCTTTAGTGGAAATACTTTAAAGTACCTCAATGAATGTAATAATCAAATATATATTAAATATTGTGAAAGAAGCAAATAAGGACCAGCAAAATTATGTTTATTCTTTTTAAAAAAAAGATATACTTCACTTTTCAGCAAAGATGTCCAGGAAGCTAAGTTTGCCAACTGAGTTAAAGCCTGATTTAGGTAAGTTTATATAGTTGATTTTATTTTTACTAAATCTGAATGTGAGTATGTTACAGTAAGAGGCCTAAGTTATGTAAGCTATCGTGACTTTATTTGCATTTATCTGAAGTATAGAAATAAAATTTTAATTGCACTCTTTTTGGGGACTCTCAGGCACAAAATGTCATTGCTGTCATCATAAGGTAAGCCTGCAATTCCTGTATATGGCTTATCGCACTTTCATTGTAATTTTTAGGCATCTGTCACACATCAGTAGTGCTGTGATAGCAAAAGCGTGAATAAGCAGACGGCATTAGGAAAGGTGCTGTCTGTGTAAGACCATCTGATACACTTTAAATTGAGAAATTAAATATCTTAACAGGATATGTAGAGGTGCTCTCAACAAATAGTTGGGTGTAGTTTTATAAATGTTAATTGTCTTGTGACCACTCTCTCTAAAGTAAAGCAATATACAGCTGTTTGGATGGATGACCAGTCTGAGAATTGATTTTTCTTGAAAATGCACAGTAACTTTTTAAATAAGGATCAGTTCAGTTTTGAGGTCTGTAGTACTAAAGGTCATTGTGTTGCCTAACTAAAACAACATACAAATGAGTAGGTTGGGGTTTTTTAAATACTCCGAGTGCCAGCTGTTAGATCAGATCCAACTCCTCTGACTTGTTCTCTAGTAATGATGGGGGACAACTGTAGACCTACAGTAATAAATGCAGCTGCCTTCTGCCTGCCACAGCTTGCTCCTCTTTCTGCAGCAGAATTGCTACCACCAGCCCAGCAGAAGACAGCCAGGATCAGTCTGACAGCTGTAGCACTGTGTGTTTGCCAGGTGCTGCTGCTGTCACCAGGGGGAAAAGTCCGTGGCACTGGGATATTCTGAAACTGAGCTGGACCACCCTGATTTACAATTACAGCTTGCACCTCTCATGGAAATGTGAAGTTGGAAGCAATCCTCAGACATTCTTTATCCAAGGATTGGCAAGGATCCTTTGGCAGGGATATGGATGTTTTGACAATTTAACCTCTGATCTATTCATGAGCCTCCAATATATAATACATATATACCAGATATATACAAATAAATATACCAGATGAAGTTTGACTGTTGTGTAGTCTAATTAGACAGATTTCCAATTATTTAATCAAACTTCCTTGCTTCCATATTAACTTTTTCTTGCCCTTTCCATGATGAACAGGGATTACAAGTACTCCCTATCTTAGTAATTTTTTTATGCTGTTGAAATCTGTCATCATATCTCTGATCTAATTTTTAGATTTTTTTTCATTACAGAATTCAGTTTGTTCTTCTCTAGGTTATTGTATCTAAACCTAGGGTGGCTTCTGTTAATCTCCTCTGGAACTGAAATTTTTCCACATCTTTCTAAGCTTAGGGTCTGGACCTAGAGCGATTTGACTGTGGCCATGTTGGCACAGAAGAGCAGAAGAATTTGACGACTCTTCAATATGTTTCTGTTGTTCCACACTATGTTTACTAATGTTTTAGGGATAATTCTGGTATAGGGTGAATTTCATACTTGGCAAACTGGAACACATTTATACTTAAATGTTAACCAATCTGCTGTTTTACTCACAGTTCTTTGATGGCAGTAAGTACTTGGAAGTGTTACTTTTCCTTAATGAAGACTGGTGAAAAGTGAATGCTGATTTTTTTTCAGCACTTTCCAATCTTGAAAGAGTTACAGTGTTTTCCACATCACTTAATATTTGCTGTTTACTGAAATAATGGAAAGGGTTTTTTGTCACATCATTTCTGATAAACTCATAAAATAGTTTGTACCTTCTGAATTGTAATAGCCTTTGACTGGTTTTGACTGCATGTATGTGAATATCTGTGCTTAGAGACCTCATTTTGTTCTGAGTAAAATTCTTCTAGGTTTTCAGGTCTGTAAATCATTTTCTTAAGCATTTACATTTAATTTTGCTTCTATTTTTTCTCATAGTGATATAGCTTTTGCATAGTATTTTTCAGTGTTGGCTTGCTTGTATTTTTGTCACTTATGTGGCCATATCTATTGGCTGTAGGAGACAACTGAAATGCCTTTCTCCTAAATTCATTATCCTTATCATTGTCTCTTGTTTCTTTCCATGGCTTCTTGAAACCTTCTCTTCCATGATCTTCTTTCAAATTAGTTTTATGTCTTTAGATCTTTAACTGGCTTCTTTTACTGTCTGAACAGATAAAATCTAAACTATGTGTTTCTGTATTTATTCTTTGCTTTCTAAAACAGAAGTTATCTTCATCATACCCTTGTCTGCATTATACCATTGCTTTTCAATGTACTAATTCAGTGATTAAGATGCTACTGCCACTAGGTGCTATTCCTTGCTTTTCTTCCTCAAAAGAACCTCATCTTTCCATCCTTCTGATGGTGCGTAGTGATTCATCACACTGCTGTTCCTTCCTCTTCATCTGAATCTAATCCATTTACAAACTTCTTTCTTGACTTCATGATAACTAGGATGCAGTAAAGCAGTTAAGCTTTTAACCCTCTGTTCTGTCTTCTGAATGGATTGTCCACCTTCAAAAATGCCCATATTGTCTGGCAAGTTAGATTTATTGGTTTTCTCCTGTCCATTCCAATGCTTTTGGAATTTGTACAAATACTCTCCAACTAGCTAGAACTCACAAATGCACATGTAAAGCTATGCTTATTGCAGTTAGGATATGATTGATTATATTCAGACTGATTAATCCATGTTAAAGTTGAAAAAAATAATTAAATTGGTAAATATTCAAGCCTGGAAAAAACAAGCATCATAAGAGGTGGTGGTCATTAGAAGACTCATAAAAACAAATTATTGTTTTACACTGGATTTACTGTTTTTAATGTGAAAACTTAGTATGTCAACATCTGAGTTTACTGAGTTAGTTTCTGTAATTCATGTTTTATATTTGACAGCTAAAATTCAACAGGACAATGTTTTTTTCTTTCCCTGTTGGAATGAGGCAATTATCTCCTGAGAAGTTTCACTGTTTGTGTTAAGTAGATATGTGTATTTAATCAGTCGAAATCTAGTAGGTATGCTTTCCAAATGCATGTTAGATATTCTTTGTAGAAAGCTTTTCAATAATTTAATGAAACTAACATAGCAATAGTTCCAAATAGTACATGGTTGAATTTTGTTCTTTAGCTCTTAATCCTGCTTTAAAATATCAATTGCATCTATACCCTACTCAAAAGATTTTTTGAGTTATTTTTTTAAAAAGCGTAGCATAAATTGCATCAAACTTTTGCTGGTGAGGGCTGTCTTGTGCTAAAACTTGGCAATTATGAAATAAGAAAGTATAACATTAAATTCAGTGTCTGCTGATATATTAGGTATTGCTATACCTACAGATAGCATACAGCAAGAGTGGAGCAGCACGTTTTTGTTAATGTTAGAATTCACTTGTTGCTAAACAGCAAAACATCCAGAAAAGCTTTAGTGCTATTACTGGAACTATGCTACAGCATTCCAAGTGGGAATCTTCAGCTTTGCATAGCAGTACCAGGTGCCATTTGATAGCATTTGTTTTTCTCTTAATAAAAGCTTGGGGGTGTGTAAATAACCTGTTAGATCTCCTGCACACGGTTTCCTAAAGTGGAACAATACTGTGAGTCATTACAGGTTCCATGCTATCATGCTGTGCAGATGTCACTGCATTTCCTAAACTGAAATGGTTGTATCTTCCTAAGATTAGTTAACTGTGATCCATGGGAGCCAATATTTTTTCATCTGATAAATGAACTAATTGGCAGAGAGGTTTCTAATCCAACTTTTTTAGAGGACTACCACTTGATGACTATTATCCTCTGGCTCTAGAAGATCTAGATCTAGAAATATGCCTTAAAATTGTTTGTGATAATTACCTATTGGCAGCCTCTGCAAATAATATTGGGTGCTTTGCTCAAGAAACAGCTGGAAACTGGGGAATAAGGAAATATGACTAAGTAAGGATAGGGGTACATAAATCAAAAGCGTTATAGTTAGTATAAAATTGACGCTAAAGAACAGAAAAACAGTTAAATTCTCTTAATCCCTGCAATTTGCTATTCTTTTTAATTAATACTGATTTATTTTCAGATGTCAAAGACAACTCTTTCAGTCGATCCCGGAGTTCTAGTGTAACTAGCATTGATAAAGAGTCACGTGAGGCAATTTCAGCTCTTCATTTCTGTGAGACGTTCACAAGAAAGGCTGATACATCACCTTCCCCTTGCCTGTGGGTTGGGACCACACTGGGTACAGTGCTTGTCATTGTACTGAACTTACCCCCAGGAGGAGAGCAAAGACTTCTTCAGCCAGTAATTGTTTCTCCTAGTGGTATGTACAAAGCAGACAGGCTAAAGTATGCTTTGATAAAGTGTTGTTGTTCTTCATATTTTTTTAAGAAACTGTTTGGGGTTTTCTTTACAATTATTGATTAATTAAAAATATTCCATTGATTTAGCTGCTAAGTGTAACAATCTAGACTGATGACTGGTTACCAGTGTTTCTCAAATTGGGAAAGTGTAAAGTACAGCTTCATAAAATATAAAAATACAACTTTAGTGTTTACTTGCTGAGAAAACAATGTTTGCAGTTGTTAAACAGATAGCAGAAGAGATGAATAGTATCAAATGCTCAGTTTATTCTTGTGGTTTTAGTCATCGGGTAAGAATCAATCAATTTTCCTGCAGCAAGAAAAGGGAGTGCAAACTGAGTCTGTAAATTGAACAACTAGCTTGATATATTAGTGGAAAATATATTCCTTTGGATTGCTGTGAAAGGTCTTGTATCTTGTTTTTCTGATGCACAGCAACTGATTTTGTTATAATTATGTAATAACAGTTCATTGGATATACTGTTAGTCATAGATTTAGCTTTCGTGCTACCACTGTCTAATGCAAGACATGCTGCTCTAGTCCATTTTGCTACACAGATGGTATCAAACATAGAAATGTTTGATGCACTGCATTGAAATGCAATGCTGTTTGATTGGAGGAATGACTAGGAGTGGCCATCTACACCATAGATGGGATTTGTGTCCATCCAGTGAGGTATTGGCTGCAGTGGTCAGATTTGGTAGCATTTGGTCATAAAGGCAATGCCACAGGCTAGGCAGTGTGTTTCCTCTTTGGATCTGCAGCATAATCCTTAAAAGATAATGCTTTATATTTTGTACATAGCAAATGTTCATGTTGTTATTTATGTGGGAATAAATTAAAGTAAAATAAAATTCATTCGCTTAAGATCTGGCCTACAGAGACAGTGATTTGAGCAGTAAGGAGAGAAAACTTTTTCATTTCAAGCTAGAGAAGTGGATTCAAGTGTGAACTACAGGGGAGAAATAAAAAAACACACATGCTTGTTTCTGAACCAATTGAAGGAAAAGGTGGTGCTCACCTTTGACTAATAGTAACATTTATTGTTGGTATTAAACATACTGTGTACTTATCAGGAGAGAATGAAATGAGTTGTATTTGTGACACTGAATTTAAATTCAAGTACATTTCCCTTGAAGTTAATCAGAGTATGTACCCACTTTACCCTTGAAAGCTGGTCTAACATTTTCCTGATTACATTTGTGCTTCACTGGTTTTTAGATAAATGCCCAAGGTTTGTGTACATCTGTTTTTCTAGGGAGACAAATTGAAGTTCTTGTTGTCTTTTCATTCTCCTAGCTTCTTAAAGGAATGTTTTGTAGCTTGGAAAGTGATTTAGGAGAACTGTTTTAGAAATGTGCTCAACTACTCTTTCCTAGGAACCATCCTGAGGCTAAAAGGTGCAATCTTGAGAATGGCTTTTTTGGACACCACAGGATCTTTGGTCCCACCAGCGCATGAACCCTGGAGAGAACACAATGTTCCTGAAGATAAAGATGAAAAAACGAAAAAGCGACGACCTGTCTCAGTGTCCCCTTCTTCCTCTCAGGAAATCAGTGAAAACCAATATGCAGTGATATGTTCAGAGAAGCAAGCAAAAGTTATCTCACTGCCATCCCAGAACTGTATTTATAAGCAAAATATAACAGAGACTTCTTTTGTTCTTCGTGGAGACATAGTGTCATTGAGTAACAGTATCTGCCTTGCATGTTTCTGTGCCAATGGACATATTATGACTTTTAGGTAAGATCTGTTTGATAGTAACTTAAATATAAAAAGGAATAGTCTTCTGCAACACAGAAAGGTTCCTTTTTCCACAGGATGATGAATTTTTAAAAAATTACATTCACTCAGGGTTGATGATTGTCTAACACTTGAGCCTGAATAATTTTGATTGCACATTCCTATTAGTTGTGTCTTTAGCACATGAGAAAGTTTTATCACTTTAGTTCAAGCTACATTGATTCAACACAAACAGTTCCAAACAGGTGATATAGATCCATGACTTTAAGTTTGTCCAAAAGTTGAATTTACTTCTTGATGGAGAAAATTGCCTTGAGTTAGACCTTTAGCTTCTACCTGACCAGAACTCTGCCTGTTTTTGTGCAGATATTTTCATCCCACCCATGCCTCAGTATTTTCTTGTGTAGCTTGCTTGTGTCTTAAAAGCCTTAAACTTCGTCTATGAAGTCAAGATTAACTGCTAGCAGTAGGATAGTAATGAGTCACCTAAAGTAAGGGGTTTAAGTTATGAGTTTAAACATGTGTTGTAGTAGTAGAAGTTCTTAAATATACTTACAGGTCACCTATGTAATCTTCATGTCCTTTATCTTAAATGTTTCTAAGTGCTATTTTATTCTGAACAAGCAGTGTGTACATACTTACACCCTTGCACCTGCAGTTTAGTTGTGGCCTAATGATAAGATGAATGTGGAACATGGCCCTACAACATTGTGCCAGTAAAGTTCCTAAAAGATTATTTTTAAGGTTACCAAAAGAAGCTTTCAGCTTGGAAAATTCTATAAAAAATATTTCTTTAGCAAGTTTTTAGAAGTAAAACTAAAACTGATACAATCAAAACTTGTTTTTTAATTGTAGTGTGTAAGTCTGTAACTCCATTGGTGTATATCCCATGTTTTATGTATTCTAAACATCTCTTAAAAAATGTTGTTCACCTTGCAGGGCAAACAGTATTGTTTTTCCCAATTAAAACTAAACTTAGTAATGTTCAGATAACATATAGTGAAACAAATCCTGTCTTCTTCAGGATTCACGTTGTTTTGTAATGAACTCAGCATTTGTGCTAAGTTATAAATAAATAGTTACCTTGTGTGGGGAAGTTGGACTCCAACGCTGAGCTCCATTTTGTAAACCTAAGTTGCTGCTGGGGAGAGGACCTTACATGCAGTTTGTATAAAGTTGTCAGAGTACTGCATCATACCCAAGATGCCCTGATACTTAACTACTGATATAAATCCAGATAGGCCTTAGTAACAGACAAACCTGTAACAGAAATTATGAAAAGGCTCTCATGGATGTCATGCTTGTCCTATTTGATCTAATGTTTTTGTGCTTTGAAGCAATAAGAATGTTTTATGCTCCCATTGATCTGAAGCAAAACACTTCCCTGTTACTGACTCTCTTAGAAATATTCTTATTTTGGATACATGCGTGGCAGAGGTGTCATATCTGGGTGATATGCTTACAAGGGAATATTGCTTGTTATTTCTCACTTTTAAAATTTGCCTACAAAGGCAATCTCAGCATCTTGCAGAAAAAGAAAAAAACAAAACAAGGCAACCTGATACTGTTCTGGTTACTGCATCTTTCTCTGGGTGTAAATTCAGTTTGCCCCTTTGCTGCTTTTTTAGTGTCTAGATTTAATAACCTTATGCAGATGGTGTCTGCAGCAGAAGCTGTTTGTTGTATTATTGGGACATTGACAGTTAACAACTTTTGTAATTTTTTTTAAAAGAATTTCACAGGGATTGTTTGAGACAGTGGTTTATTTTTGGTTCTACTTACCAAGAAATTAGGTGTTTTGTCTTTTCTTACTTGCACTTATTATCACATTGAGGGAGAGGAATGTTTGGTAAGGGAATATTGTTCTAGCCCAAGTGTGCTGGCTGTTCTTCAGTAGATTGATACAGTAAGTTCTGCAGTTACATGTACAGAATCAGTTAATACAAGGTAAGAAAACTTTGCTCTAAGAGGACTTTCCCTTCAATATCTAGTCAGGAGATAAAAGGGGGACTTAATTCATAAGATTGTTTGAGGCTACTGTGTTCTGCTTTCCTTTGTCAGCACACTCATATTTCTACATTTTCTCAAGGAGAGGTCTTTCTTTTAGACTTTTATTTTTAGTCAAGGAGAAATTATTAACCCAAGAGAAGAGACAGGATGTTTAATTGTAAACTCTTGGTAGATACTTATCAAAATGCCTTGGTAATTATTAAGTAATGCCTAATTCATTAAATAGTGAATTTGTGGTTTATATGCTCAGACTAACATTTAAAAAAATGCTTTTAAATGCATCTGTGATGCAGATGCTTAAATTTCACTTTTGAGGAGCTACCTTGAAAAATCTGATGTTTTGAGATTCTGTAATGTCATTAAATGAAAAATTAAATAAATTAAATTAAAAAGGGGAAAAAAATACCTATTGCAGTTTAAGAATGAGCCATTTGATCAATAATTGACATTTCTGCTATATTTAATGGGCTTTTTAATTATTTTCCTTAAGTTTGCCAAGTTTAAGGCCATTGTTGGATGTATATTACCTGCCACTCACCAATATGAGGATAGCCAGAACATTCTGCTTCACCAATAATGGACAAGCACTCTATCTTGTCTCACCAACTGAAATACAGAGGCTCACCTACAGCCAGGAAACATGTGAAAATCTTCAGGTATAGAACCCTTTTTAGAAAATCACGTTCTTCTTAGATGCATTCTGAGCTGAGCATTTAGGCTTTTGTGCTTTGATATTTTTTTTCCCCTTTTGTTTTCCTTCACTGTAAACTCTGATTCTGCATGAATCATTTCTACATTAAATTTTTGTTTCATCCGTGCTATTGTAGCTGAATCAGTTTCTTGCTTAATTTCATTTTGTTCAACAGGAAATTTCCTCTTTTAGCATGCAGTTAAAATTCCCTTGATCAATTGATGCATGCTGACACAAGTGGGGAATGCTAACTCAGGATATTTGAAGGAAGCTATTAAGTCTCAGGGGTATTAACAACTTCTGTCATGCTTCAGCTTGGTGGTTGTATAGAATAATGAAATAGCAGAGTTGCAGGCTGTACTTTCATACTGCTCCTTGGATATAAGTATTTGTAGATAGAGTTTCAATAGAACAAAGTCAGGAGTCTTGTCCAAGTTGTTGAGGGGCAAGTTAGCTTTACTTGAATGCATTTCTTTGCTTCTGAATTCCATGAGCTCTAAGCTTGCAACCATCAGAAGCAGATGTTTTGGACAAATTTCTTAAAATGTATTTATTTTTCCATTTCCTACATCACCTTGCAAAAGCAGATGCCCATTAAAGCATATTCATTTTGAAATTCAAATCCATTAAATAAATCCTGAAAATGAAAGAATATTCCATTCTTTTTAATAATTTCTGCCTTGTTACGTCTCTTTTTCATTGCAAAGGAAATGTTGGGTGAGCTCTTCACTCCAGTAGAAACACCAGAAGCACCAAACAGGGGGTTCTTTAAAGGCCTGTTCGGAGGTGGGGCACAGTCACTTGACAGAGAAGAACTCTGTAAGTTATTATTAATTGTTATTTTTCTGGTATTTCTTCCCAAGGAAGTCAGTGATCCTTGATAAATGTATTACCTCTGTTTATAGAATGTTACCTTTGTGAAGAGGAAAGTAAAGTAGGGAGTGACAAATACTTTCTTTCATAGATTTTGTGTTTCTGCCTTACCAGCAAGGTCAGAAAAGCTTGGTATGTTTTTTCTCACAGATTCTTTTAGCTCATTTATTCAGCACTAGATGAGTTATTCCATTTCTTGTTTTATAATCTTATTTTTATTGATCTTTTTGAAGCCTATAGTACTGACCATGATTCTATTTATGCTGGTAAACTGAAAGGGACTGCTTTTGGAGAATTCTGTTCTGGACAGTGAGAAAATTAAAACTTAATTCCAGTTATTTGCCAGATTTTCCTTGTTTTACTTGTGCAGAGATGCCATAGGAATGACAGCAAGGACAGAACTGTTTGATATTTTAATTCAGTCTTTTGTTTATAGGACAGTAAAATTTAGATTTGGCAAAATTTTCATTGCTTTATAATTTTCTCTTTTTTTTATTACACTTTTTTTTTTACTATGGTGACATTTAGCACTTTAATATGTTTAAGGAAAATAGCTTCCATTTATTTATTTAGGTATTTTCTAGATGCAACACCATATTATGCAAGCCTATTTTTAAGAACCTTTTTCTTATTAACATGAAATGTATCCATCAAAATGGACAAGGTGCCTTGCTAGTTCTTTCTTTTATGGTGGTTCTTTTGATCTCTACAGAATAAAAATTAGACTTTATTACTTGTGCTTGCACATTTTGAGCAAATGTCAGATATTTAGATATTTAGAGGTCCCTTCTCCAGGTCAGGTTTCTTCTTTGGTTGTTTTTATATATATATATACACACACACATATGTAATACTATGGAAGGTTGGTCAAGTATTCTAGTAGAGAAATCTATGTGCACAAATTATAACTTAATATGACTGAGACAGAAGAAGGATACCTTGTAACTTTAGAAGCTATATCTATGTATCATTTCAAGTTTCAATACCATTAAGTTTTTGCTTGGATCTTTAGAAGGAAAGTAGTATTGAAAGGAAGAAAAAAAATCTTAATGAATTGTATCCTGACAGAGAGTTCAATGATAATTCAAAAGACATTTAAGACTATCTTTAAAGTAGCCATATATACCATCAGGGTCACAGCAGAATCTGTAATAAGTGAAATTATTTCTCTTTCTTATTTTGGGAATTCACAGAAAGGTGTTTATAGTATTAATTTAAATGTAAATCATTCTTAATAGAAGCATAAAATCAAATCAGAGAGTCTTGAAATACTGCATCAAAACGTATTTAACCAGTTAATATTATTCTTCCTAGAGGTAAAAAGAAAATATTTAAACCATATTTCATTGTACTCAGATTTCTTTCGTCTGTACAATTCTGCATGGGATTGGCACATCAAGTATCTAGATTTTACCGGGTGGCTGATGTCCCATTAAGAGCAAAGTCGATGCAGTCAGTGCCATCACTGGAGTCTGGAGCTGTTCAGCTGACCATTTGTGCTGATTTGTTCTCACAGCCTTACTGTCTTTTTACTTTTTTTGTGTGTTTGTTTGTTTTTTGGGTTTTTTTTTGTTTTGTTTTGCAAGGTTTTGACAATAATGACAGCACAGACACCTAATCTTCAGGTGTCTGCATGTAAACTTCCATCTGAAGAAACTTCTGCTGTTGGAATCAAGCTGGCTGGCTAACATACCAGCAAAGCACTTCCAGAACTAACCACAACTTTCATTTTCAAAACCCTGCTGTGTCTGTTGAACTCAACACACATTCCACATGAAATAAGCTGTACTGTGCTGGTGAAGTGTTTTTTAACAATTCTGTTGATGAACATCAGAATTTTAATTTCACATTTGAGCTATGAAGAGCTTACAGTTTTATAACCTGCCTGGAAACTTGAAAATATGTTTGAATGTCTCAGTTCTAATGTGGTAACATCTACTAATGTGGAGTAGTGAGTGTTGCTCATAGTCATACCTACAAGTAGCTGTTTGGTCTCCATGCTAAGAAATTACAGCTCTAGTTTCAGTGATATTTACATCATAATGACAGAAAAACTTACTGTTCTGTATTTGCTGCTTTTGCAAATGCCTCCAGTTGGAGAATCAGCATCTGGGAAGGCATCAAGGAGTCTTGCCCAGCATATTCCAGGACCTGGGGGTATCGAAGGTGTCAAAGGAGCAGCATCCGGTGTAGTTGGTGAACTGGCACGAGCCCGGTTGGCACTGGATGAAAGAGGACAGAAACTGGGAGAACTGGAAGAAAAAACTGCAGCTATGCTTTACAGTGCTGATTCTTTCTCAAAACACGCTCATGAGGTGAGTATGTTAAACTGAACATTAAACTGGTTGTCCGATAAATGTGATTTCTGCAAGTGATTGAGCTAACATGCCTTTGCATGCTAGAGGTATCTAAAGGGCATGCAGTATCGTTGATAAAGGATACTTGCCTTTCATCCATCACTTGTTACTCCTAACAATTAAGTACTAATTGTAAACAGCTTTGTCTCATGGCACATTGCTCTAGAGCATGCAGTCTGCTGGAGTGGCATGTAAGCTTCTAAATGTGCAACTCAATCCCCATTACTGAAAACGTTACTTATTGTCACTAAATTAATAAGAAGAGTAATGCTTTATGTCAGATTCCTGCTGTCCTTAAGAAAGAACCTGTTGTATGCAAATCCTTTGAGTGCGAGTTCGTTTTTTTCCCTCGGTAACTACCATGGAATGGCTGTTCTCATCCATTTTCATGCTGACTTCTTTCCACACCCCAAGCTCCTATGCAACCTCCCCATTCTCCCAAAAATGTCTTTTTCTGAGGCTAGAGTACCAGCAATGATGTTACCATTAGAAAATTCATCATGCTAAACACTCAATACTTAGTAATGTGTTTGCAATTTTAAGTAGCCTTGCTAAAACCCTTTTCTCCTGCTGCTTTGTAAGCATATTATTTGTTTGTGTCATTGTACATTTTGGTACATTACAGAAACAGTAATTAGAGGTTTTTTTGCTTTTCTAGATGATGTTGAAGTACAAAGACAAGAAGTGGTACCAATTCTGATGACTCTCATCAATCACATCTGTTTAATTTTGTCCTGATGAAAAAAAAAATCTTGTTTTTTCCATTAATTTTGGCAGGACCAGTGAAATTTAAAGGAGTATTCACCATTGGATATGGTTGTTTCCTAGCACAAATGACACACTGTTTTACCTCAGTCCTGGCTTTAACTGAGGAGCTTTATATCTAAGAAACACACACACAAAAAAAAAGAAACTCGAGTGTTTCTTAGCTGTTGGTTAGCATAAAGTTGGAAAAGAAAAGGTAACTGGAACACATGGAAAAGAGAGTAAAGGGAAATCATGATGAGATGGGCAGGGGCAATGCAGGGTCAATCCTGTGTTAATATTTCATATGCCAAAAGTTTTTGTGCTATTGTAATTGCTGCCAGTGTTATACCCTCCTGTAAGGAGAGGCAATAAATCAGGGGTCCAAGAGCTGGAATCAAGTTGTTTGTCTTGCTGGACAGTAGCTGACTTACAATTACCCTCTCTAGGACTCACTATATTTACCATTATTGTTGAAGAAGAGTTGAAGTTTGCTGTCACTTCTTTCATTTGAAAAGTTGGAAGCTTGGAAGATTTCTTATTGAAAATTGTATACATAGTTGACCTGTGCATAGTCTTTTCTTGGACCCCTGATCTAGTATTCTTGTATTCACATCATATTCTGTGACGTGAAAAGCAAAAGAACACGTAATTTTTGCATTAAAAAAGTCAAGTGAATAATATGGCTGGAATGTGTCATGCTGGGAGTTTTCATTTGTGTTATGGCTGTGCAATGTGAAATGTGGTAACATCTTCCTTGTGGTAAGAATTCTTCAACTTCTGTTCAGTTAAATATTATTTTTGCCAAAAATAGTTATTGGTTCAGGTTGTGTAACATTTAGAATTGGCTGTGGGTTCCATTCATGCTGTGAGTTTTTATAGATGTTTAACAGAATGTATCTTTACAGCCATTAATTAAAATATCTGAGATAGTTTTGCTCAAGACTTAAGTTCTAGATGCCCCTTTAGTCCTTCACCATGAAATCAGATAACCTTGGACTCAGGTTTTCAAAGTTTTACACACCATGGAAGTGCTGATGCATGAATAATGGCAAGCAAGCATCTAATGCTTAACAATTGTCAGTATGTTGTTCAGAAAATCTCCAGGTTCTGCCAGTAGTGCTATTTTACAAGTACCTATCTCAGCCCCACCCAGCACTAAAGGCAGTTGTCCTAAAGTTTGGATTTAGTCTCTAAAGCGATGTTTTCATTGTAAGCAGTGGCAAAGTGTGCACAAAAACTTTAGTAATTGCTGAAATAATGTTCAGTTTGGGCGAGGTAAATAATACAGCTGAGCTAACTTGTTAATGGCTACTGCACTAAAGCTGTATCAGTGTGAATGAGCAGGGCTCTTTTTAAAAGAGAGGTTTCCTTGAAATAAATGCTTGCATTTCAAAAATTCCTTTAGACCTTTTTCCTCAAAGTAGGAATAGTTATTGACTGATTTTGTTTTATAAAAGGGAGTACTTAGAAGCTGATAGGTCTACATTGTCTGAAATTAATCGCTTGGGTTTGCTTCTCCAAGCTTTGCATTTTGTGTACTTTTTTCACAAACTTTCTGAATGTTCCCGAAGCAAAACCTGGGTTATATTTGTATTGTGAAGTGATGTTGAAGGCACACAGATAAGGCAACCTTACAAATCACCTCAAGGATGCAAAATATTGAAGTTAGTTATGGTTCTTAAATCACTTTTCAAATGACAGGCAAATAAGTCTGGGCTTTGAAGCACAAACTGATAAATTTTCTCACTTTATGTATAGCAACATTTAATTTAAAAAGAGAATTCAATTGTGTTGCCAGTACAAGGGCATGCCCTACTATGCGCACTGCTCAAAGGACTTAAAAAATGAGAATGTGACAATTCAAATAAGCAGTACTATGATATTTTGATTCCTATGTCCCATAACTACTGAGGCAATGTTTACTTGATTTACTTAACTCAGTTTGCCATGCAATATTTGCCTCTGCATGTTAATTTTCTTTTTAGTTTCTAATTAATGCATATTTAACACCATTCTGTGAGACACCCAGATAGAAGAAAACAAGATAAACCACTACCCATAGCACACCCAAACAAACCCACCCTACCTGACACTTGTCCCCTTCCTTGTCTCACATTTATAAATTGAGATGACTCATTATTATTTGACCTGGTGAAGATAAAGTACGTTTCAGGGCAACAGAATCCTGGGAAATTAATCTGGTCAGGCTCTGGGGGAGAGGATTGTAAAAGTATTCTTCAACAAATTATGGTATCTTTCAATGGAAGATGATCTTGGCTTGAAAGGAAAGCATACTTAACTTTCTCATCAAGACACATTTGACAACCACCAGCAAGCAAAATAATAAGAGGCAGTGAGAGACCATCTGCCAGTACCAGAAGAGCAGTGGCTTATTTGGTGTTACAGAATCTATCGTAGTTGAATCTCTTCTGTTGCTTATGTTCAGGGCATGCTTCTAGATAAGAAGACTAATGGCATGATTGCTCATGAGATAAATACACAAATGGTTCTCGGTCGATAAAAGGGGCTATGTACAATTTTAGTCTAAAATGTTACTTTCTCCTTCCCAATGGAAGGAAGGTGATCACACGTACATCATTGCATCTTACTGTGCTATTGGTGGTGCACCTTTTGTACAGCAAAGTGTATTGAAATCCTTGCAGGGAAGCACCCCTGGTTTTTTCACTAGCATTTTAGTTGTGTGAAATTTTTTAGAGTGTTTGGAAAACTATAAAATACAATTGAGCTATTACTTTTTTTTTAATGAAAGTAAGAAACTACCTGCTGCTACCTATCTGTTTATATGTAGTGTGTCTCATTAGGAACTGCAAACTGAAGAAGCTTTTCTTCACTTTAGTCCTGCCAAATCATAACTTTTGAATCCTGGTATGTGTAAATATGTCTGTATTCCAAATCAGTCTAAAAGTGTTACACCACAGGCATCTCCAGTGATTTGTTCTTCAGCAAACAGTCAGTTATAAAGTATAGTAATATATAGCTGTGTTCCTTGTCTGTCTTTATGCAAAGTTTTTGTGCCTGAGGTGGTCCTTGAATGGCAGGTGATACTGGAAAGCTACATCCAAAGGAGGATTTTTGGAAGCAAGTTCATTTTCTTTTTTTATTCCTTTCAGTTTTCCTTTTATTTTCCTTTCTATGTTTTGGTTTGGGTTTTTTTTTGTTTTGTTTTGTTTTTTCTTGGTGGTACTTTGGTTTGGGTGTTTTTTTGGAAGGGTGGGAATTCTTGTTTCTTTCTTTCTTTCTTTTGTTTTTCTCTTTTTTGCTTAATTAATGGCACTGATCTTACCTGAACTTTTAAACTTGAATTTTTCCTGCACTTTAATTCAGTCATGGTATTTTATTCCTTAATTTTGTTTCTGCATTTGTGCAGTTCAGGTTCATTATTTGTATATAAACACACATGTTCAATAAAGACTTTAGAACAGATTACTTTCAGGCACCTTTGCTAATTATTTGATTTATTTAGAATGTGTGTTTTCTTAGCAAAATATGTATATACAATAGAGAATCTAATGAAAGGCACATATTCTGTGTCAGCATTCAGTTTATAAATTAATGCAACACTTTCACATTTGTTACTAGATAATACAAAAGAAATCTGTTATATTTATACATACTGCTTAAGAATATACTTTTAGTTTTAAATAATTTTTATATGTACACTTCTACCTTTAATTTTAAAAAGACTTATGTTCAAGTTTTAAGTCAAAGTACTTAAAGTATGTATATTATCCATAGAAGTTGTTTTAAGCTTATGAATACATTCATATCTCATATCGAGATGATACAATTACTAAGCAATGAAAATAAATAGCCCATTTTGCTTTGCAGAAAATAATCAGTTATTTTTACCTCCCATTATGAACACCCTTGAACAGTTCTCCAAGTATGGAGCAAGAAGATAGGGAATTAGCCTAATCTTAAAGTTTTCTCTATAGCTGCAGTCCATGGCTGACTGGTTTTCTATGGTCTGGGGTTTTTTTCTGGTGTACACGAGAGACTTTTTTCAGCTCTATTTCTTGGACTTTTAAAATTCTCCAAAACTGAAGTGAGGTTTGTCCAATAAACATTTTTTTTTTTTTTTGAGTAATCTGTGTACTTTGATTATACATCAGCTCTTTACATGTAAATCAGGGTTGGTTTTTATGAGGGTTTGTTTTGTTGGGGTGTTTTGTATCTGAAATGTGTTGGAAAACTTAAGAGCCTGTGGCTGAAGTGCTCTCTACTTTCTGCTTGTGGTTTAACATGTCTGGGCAGTCACTGACTGCAGACAGAGTCTGGTGTGGGAGGGAAGGACTGAAGTGCCTTGCCTCCTTCTCCAGGTAGAAGGGCAGCTTGTCACTTGAATCTTCCCTCATGCCAAGCCAATTTCCTGGATAATTGATTTGAGTCTTTTCGGGTGGACGTTTATAACTTTGCTATTACCACAACATCAAATACTCTGTAGACAGAAATTAATGATGCTTGAGGGGTGGAAGTGAACAGAATGAGGGGGGAAAAGGGTGTAGTGTAGGTGAATCAGTTAAGCCAATTTTACTTCAGTTTTCATTGAAAAGCTAACCTGTGCCGATTTCTTCCTCTTAAGCCCCTTTGAAATCTGTGCTGTATATCTACCTTTATACTGTTTCAAGTCCGATGAGTGTACTGTTTCTGGGTTCTTTTACACCTTATAAAGTTTAGACTTAAAGATGTAGGTCTTAATTTTTAAAAAGTGGAAAAGAAGGAAGAAGAGAAATGAGGCAAAACCACCAAACAATCAAATGAAAGATGTCAATCATTATTTCTTTTAGTAGTTCCATGTGCGCCTAAAAACGTTTAAGCTAACCTACAGCTGTAGGTTACTTTGACACTATTTCTTTCTGTTAGTACCATATGACCAGGCAAATAACTAGAAGTTAAACTGTTTCAGTTGAAAACATGTAAGGAGTTGTATGTGGATTACCACTACCATTCAGTCATAAGTAATGGAAAGGGAGAGGGGTGGGAACATGTTTTAAATATTCCCTTTTAAAACAGAATTGTAAATAAGCAGTACTGTGTTATTTTAGACCTGAGCTCTGCTATCTGTAGTGGTTAGAACTAGGAAAACATGCTGCTTTCTAGTTATGCTGCTGTTTTATTGTTCCAGCACCATGGGGAAAAAAAAATACATCCGTAAATTTTTCTAACATTGCCCACTCCTGGGTAAGCATGCTTGATGTGTAGCAGTTCTCGTTTCTGTATATGTTAGTGTGTACACGTGTGTTTTCTTTTTCCCCTTATGTTCATTGCAATTTATTCTTCAGTTAAGTCTTGCTGAGCCCCACTAGCTCTCCTGAGGATGATTACTGGAATATGCATTTTTTAGGTAGGGTTGCAAATCCATCTGTCTACAAATATAGTTTCATATGAACTGCAAACTGTACTGTTACAAACTCAACTATGTTAGATTGCATAGAGTTATTTTACTTACATGTACTTGGACTGAACTATGTCATCATAATGAAGTTAAAAAATTAAGTATGGAATATTTTTGTAAATAAAAATACCTGTGAAGCTGGTATTTTAAATTTAAAATGTATTATACATTAATGTTTCAGAAAAAAATGTTCATATATGTGTATATGAATGTGTCATTATGCTGAAGGGCTCTTGATTGGGCAAAATAAACTATTCAATTCTCTCCTGAAACGAGTGTAGCTTACTCCTTTTCTTCCCGACCAGTTGTTTTTCTGCTGGCTGGAGCAGCAGGAAGGTGTGAGTTGTGCTTTCTAACAAGCAGAGCAGCCTGGCTGACAAGGAGTAGCCCTGAAGGACCCAGAGAGGTGTGAAATGGTTCATCTGCAGTGGTGTCCCCAAGCCTGTCTAAAGTGTTCTGAAATGTGCATATTGATGGTGCCAATGTGAAGTCCTGTTATCTTTTTAAGTTACCAGAAAAGTTAAGGTCACTCATTGTAGAGACTCAGTAAAGCAAAGTATTTTCTGTAGCTGCATTTTGTCAGTGTTTATTAAATGAAGAATCCGGTGTGTAAGGGGAGAAGAGATGAAACTGTTACTTTTTTTCTTTGCCACGTTTACAGTACAGGAGATGTATTATTTTCTTGGATTGAGGCTCAGCTTTGCCACAGACCAGTTTCTAGTTTGCAGTCTTATTAAATTTGCTGTCTTTTGCTGTTGGGGAGAGAGGGAAATACAAACAACCTGGCTTTGTAAGCATACTCTCAATGGTGGGGAAATAATGAATCCGAAGAGAGGCTTGGGCAGTAAATCTGAGAAGTGAAATTGCTGTACCTTGGAGAAATTTTTGGAATCTCTTGATGTCAAATAGCAAAATATTTCACTGTTGGTTGTTTTAGTATGTGAGAATACAGTTTCATCTGTGGGAAAAAGTCTGCTAGTTCCAGACTTGTTGTTTTGTTTTTCATTTAATATCTGATGGTTGCATGTAATGAACTGGAAGCTCTGCAGTGCATAGAGTTATAAAAAGCATAACGCATTGGAATGAAAAAAACTATTTTTATCTTCAGTTTAATTGGATTCAAGATATTTGGAGCTGTCACAGTGCCTGCAGCTACTCGCTAGGTCTGCTAGTCTCCAATAAAAGTAAAAAAGCTACAGTAGAAGTAGCTTCCTCCCTATGGGTACTGTAGGACTGCACAGATCAATGGACTGACAAGAGGGGAGTGCCAGAGTGAGGTTGCAAATTGAAGCATTTTCATTTAGTGAAACTCAGGATTTGATGAGACCTATATTAAGAATGTGGTTCCTTTGCACATTACGTGTTTCAACAGTTTTGGTGCCAATGTACTGTAAATTAAATGCATTTAAGACCTACAGACATATGATTATATGCCCATCAGCACTTTTCTTACTCAGATTTTTTTATTGGGAATTTCATCCCGGCAGGGTCACTGAACCAGCCCCTCCTTGTTGCCCACTGGCCGGTGGGTGCTCAGTGGTATCCCCAGTTTTGCCTGCTCTCTCCTCCTGCCTCGTGCACCTGTACTGCTCCCTTGGCCTCCGGTCAGCAAGCAAGAGGCACTGTGTACTTCCTCCCTCAGGAGAAAAGGAGGCATCCCAGCCTGGTCTGAGGAAATGGGATGTTTTCTCCCACAGTCCTGCACTGAGGTAAACCCACAAGAGCAGGAAGGCAGCAAGCACCAGTTGCTCATCTCCTAGTTTGCTGGCTGATTTTTCAAAATGTGTAATTAACGCTCCCTCAGTGAGGGCTTGGGGGCTTGCATATGCAACTCATTATAGTAGCAGAGCTCTGCTCACTTGCTATAGCAGTTTTCTGTACTTTCCAGCCACAGGAGACAATCTGGGCTGAGGCTTGTGCACAGGCTGCTCAGAAGGAGGAAGCTCTACCCACCCCCACTGCCCCTGCTGAGACCTGGGGAACACTCCTTGAGCCTCAGAAACTCCTTTAGAGCTGTTTGATTCCAGCACTGCTCAGAAGGGCTGATGGACTGTGGCAAAGCCAGTCAAGATAAAAATGGAAAAGTTGATGTATTTTGGAGCAGGTAACTGCACTTTTTTGTGCTTCTGCAGTCTCAGTGTGAGCAGGGCTTGATAGAGAGTTGAGTGTTTGAAGGGATTTGTAATCAAAATGTCAGACTGTACTTATGTTTTGATAAGTTTATGAACTCCTCTACCTAATTAAGCAGACCTAATGAGAAATTTTATATAATTCTGGTTTCTGTGGTGCAAGACCCTCCTGGAAAGAATAATGTGGAATGCAGTCTCCCATGACAGAGTGAAGAGAAAACAATTTCAAGCTGGTATCCCCTAATTCTCTTGTGCACCTGCAACTCTCTTAGCATCACTTGAGTTAAGTGCTTTTTACCTGAGTGTTAGTGTCAGTTACTGACTGTGGTGCTTTTTCTTCCAGGATCTCCAAGGACGCAGCACAGTGGTCCAAGGTATCATGAGACTTCTCTTCCTTAGAGTTGCTGTCTTCAGACTGAGTATGCATGTGTCTGTTGTTCAAGATGTATGTCAGAACTTGATTTATAGAAGGAAGAACTTCTGTGTTTTCCTTTTTTAAATTTGAAAGGGTTAGAAAAAAGTCATCACATCATATTTTCTTTTTAATATGCTTAAATCCAAAGTCAATTCTAGCTGTGAACCTAGAGACCCTTTACCTCCCATTTTGTCTTTAGCAG